GATTATATTTAATAATATTTATATTAATAATTTATATTAATATTTATATTAATTTAAATGAAATTCGTTTAGCCTTTTTTCATCCGTTGACTCAACCTGAGCTATTTTAGCCGTGTATGCGTCCTCCGCGGCATTTATAATACAAACACCGTAAATGTTTAATTTATAGAGAGTCAAGGAAAAGTAATGTACAACATTACAGAGGAAGATTGCTATGGGGAAAGGAGTGAGTTTTTCTAATTTATCATCATCTGTGATAAAACAAAAAATTTGAAATTGTTTGTCTCGTGTTTATCTCATTTTAAAAAATTGAAAAATCCAAGGTAACCAATAGACCTTTCTTATAATGACGTCAAACGCGGGAAGTCTGATGTTACACGAAATTTAATTGGCTCCACAAAACTGTCGAGCCAATCAAACTTCTTGTAACATCAGACTTTCCGCGTTTGACGTCATTATGAAAAAGGTCCATTGCAAATTGTTTTAATTAAAGTTGACACAGTTTAACGATTTCATAGACGTTTTGCTAGTTTTAATTGTTTATTATTTATTATTGGGATAAAGGGGCTTTTTATACGACTTTTTATTATACATTGCAAAAAGTCACTCTATAAACGAAATTTTCACGTTATACTAATGACTATAATCATGTTATCTTTTAATACAGTTGGAAATGAGTGTCCGAAATGTTTATCTGTGGATAATTTCGAGGATTTCTTTGACAAGAATATCAATTGTTCCACATATCGTAAGTAATATTTGTGCTTCTCTAGGTATATAGGGAGGTGGTGCATTTTATTTCACGAACGGTTTTGCATGGTTCACCCCTACAGGAGCAACCAATTTGACTGTTTTGCATTTGTGCTAGCCTTTATGTGTGTCGTGCAACTTAGAATCTTGATCACTCTTTAGCCGTTGCAGATTACAATTAAAACTAAGAATACATGCATGCAGCAACTCCTCGCCATTTCAAACGATGGAAATAACTTCCTGGGCTAGCGAGAACTAAACTTATATTCATGAAATGACTCAAATTAGTCGTTAGCATTCCTATCTTCACAAAAATGAAGTAAACCTCACCCGATTTTTTCATTTGTCGCATTCAGCAGGCACTTTATGAATTTTTACAGCTTAAAAATTCAACCTTCAAAACATCAAAACAGTACAAAATATCCAAAGACTAAACGTAGTTGCTATTCTTTCAATATTTATATGCAGCGAATATTGGGATTTTGCAGCCGACTTTAAAGTTTTTAAGTGAGATTTATTTCATCAAAATACAAATTCACACTTTCACAAACCCTTTTGAAGTTAAAGTAATGTCGAGCTTTTCATAATCGGTTTATATGTTTTTGCGAAACAACATACCATACAAGCTCTCATGCATATCTATATAGTAAACTGTATTTTCAAGTTTTAATTACAAAAAATTCGGCATAAACAAAAACACTACTTGAAAGAATATCGATTATTAATTTATTATGTAGGCAATATGGCTCCTCTTTCATCGCTCATCCGTATATATATATATATATATAATATAATATATATAATATATATATATTATATATATAATATATATATATATATAATATATATATAAATATATTAATATAATAATAATATATAATTATATATCCGATCCGCGTTGTTTATCCATATCATAAATAAATTATTTTGCCTATTTTTATTTCATAGTGTTTTTGCAAGTATTTTTACAATATTCTTTGAAAAATGACAGTTTTCTGACGTTCCCGATGAAATACAAACTTTCCGCCTCAGCCAATCTCGTTCAAATTTCGCGCATGGGCATAACTATAATGGGATTCCGCGCTATATTCTGTCACAATATATACCCGGATGTAATTGTAAATCTCCGAGCAGAGTTGAAAAACCGCTTTCACTTCAAGCCAAAGTAGCTATATCCTGACCGAGACGTATGTGGTAACCTGGTCTGTTTTATTGCAAACCTTGTCTTTTGTTAAAATAATATAATTATCTTAAGTGCAGGATACATTGTTAAAAACCATGCTTGCATGGCCGCAAATTGCTCAATGCAATAGACCAGAGTTGATATAGAGAGATAAAACGCCTAAAAACTCGGGAAACTTCATAGGATTTTAAAAATCTCATTTTTTCATGGGCTCATTTTTTCTCAATATTGTTTACTAGACAATATTGTTGGTAAAAATTCCGACGAGATTCTGCTATTTGACGATCGCTTATTTTGCAAAAAAACTTTTTTGTCTTACCTCCCGAGTTTTAAACCACAGCGCATGTGTAAAAAACCTGCCTCAGAACTACTTTGCCCATGCATGAATAGAAATATCCCGTTTTTAGTAATTTTGAATAGCTTTTAATTGCAGGTCCAATTGCTTTAATGGCGTCTTATGTCCTGTTGCTTATTCATGCAACTGATAAAATTTAATTAAATTTTTAGTAATTCAACAGTATGCATGGTGCATGTTATGCTTCGCGAATACAAAATTGTGAATTATTTAAATCACCGTTAAACTGATGCTATTATCATGTTAAAGTTGATGTTGTAACTTTAACAGTATTGCGGCGAGCGCTAAAATAAACCTTATATGGTCGCGTTACCTCAAACAATGCTGTGGTCCAGGTTCGTTTCTGCATTCGTTTCTGTAACTTTAAAATTTTCCAAATTGGGTTTTTAACAGGTGGATTTCGACCAGGAAATATGACCCTAATGCGTCTGCTGCATGCGTCTTAAACGTGAACATATATATGTCTGCTTTTTTTGTGGTTATTGGTAGTCAGGGTACTTTTATTCGCAGATACATAAAACATCACGCGTTTACCAAAATGAAGAACTTGTAGGGGGGGGGGGGGGGCACTACACAAAGAATATTGTAATATTGTAATGAAAATGAGTAGCTGGCAGCTATAACAATAACTATTTTTCTTCACATCATTATATGTAAAAAATGTATATACTGATTCTTTCTCTTACTTTCAAATCAAATACCTAAAATGCGAGTAAGCAATCCACCCTCGTGTCATCTTTTGCATTAGTGACGCGTGTTAAAAGCATTAATGGACGTATGAAGGTGAAAAAAGCTTATATACAAACAAAGAAGACTCAGAACCGCAAGTTGAGTTCCTATGAAATACCTGAATTTTGTCCTTGCGACGAAATATATGATGGTGTAACATCATTGGTGATAGGACAAAGTGATTACTTCCAAACTGAAGGCGACAAAACCTCCATCGTGTTCAACGCTGCTACGACAGTTGCGAAGTGGAATGGAAAGAGAATGAAACAGATTTTCAGAGAGAAGATGATCTCGAAAATTTATCGTAGATGTAAAGCATTGGCGATGAAAAGAAAAAGTGGATAGAAAGGATGGCGAATCCTTTATTAATTAATGTTCAAGTAATGAATTGAAATACAATTTTTAAATTCTGTTCAATAAATGATTTCAATTTTGCAAAATTTCTTCTGTAAAGATCTGCATGTGTTTTGCCGGCTATTTTTGTTCCTTGCTGACTTGATTTAAACTTTATTCTATGTTTCCGGTCATTTGGCAGGACAAGTGAAATTATATTAACCAAGTCCTAGAATTTTGGGTACCGGTCACTCTGCTAAGCCTACAGGAACCGGTCGTACGACAGCTGGATAGTGATTGGCACGCTCCAGTAGCAGCGTTCCTGCGATCTGATTTTTTTACTTGCTTTTGCGCCCTATGGGAAGCCCGAGTGCAGGCTATCTTATTGCGAAATTTAAATAATTTCTGTTACTTGGATTTTTTTCGATCGACCACATATTTCAAGCTTTACTTTGCATGGAAAGGTTCCCGGTAAAGATGCGATAGTCGAAAGATTCTGTAGTCGTGTTGGTGACGAGCTGGAAATAAAAGTACTAAAGAATAGAGCAAAAACCATTTTACTATTTGAAGATATTTACTGAGTTCTCAGTATTTAATTTTTTGCCACTTAAAAATAAGTCCCATAACTTGGCGCCGTTGTCCAATAACTACAATCTTGGTCGTCATTTCTTTGGTACGCCTTTTAATATCTTTGTCAATCAAACTATGTTTCAGTTCGTATGAAGATGGGAGTAGCAGGGAAGTAGCTAATTGAAAGTAATCTGATTTTCCTGATGTATGTAGTTATTACTCTGCACGTGCTTTGATATTAAAATTGGAAGGCCAAGGTCACTTTCTAAACCCTAAAATCCTGCCCACGGTACTATGGAAATGATTTAATAAACACCGTTAACACACTAACACAAGAATCAAAGATCCATTGATCGCTTCACGGACCGGCATTACTTGATCACTTGCAACGGACAATAGAAATATGCAAAACATATTGCCCTGAGACATTGTGCGGGTAAACTAAGTGGGGCTGGTTTTTGTATGAGGAAGACCATCACGTGACACGTGTTCTTGACAGTTCGTTCTTTTTTGCCGCTCACTTCTTTACCTGAAATTTTAATTAGGCTGTGATGAGTGAAAGTGTCTTTGGCATTAATATATTTTCTTTGCCGTCCACGATTGTCTAAGCCATTGCGATGCGCATTTGATATGAGCAATTTGGTACTGCTTAACAATGACGGACTACATTCCACACGTCAGAAGGGAATTGTATCCGACAGGGCTATTGTATATCACTCGTCGATTCGGCAATGAACCCAAGTAACTAGTATCATGCAGGTAATGAAACTGCATGAATTCAGTCTCTGTTTTCAGTGTAATTGTATTCGCCATCCCATGATTACCTATACAAATCGCGAGCGTAATTTTTAATATTATTTTTAATATTAATGTAATCAGGATATATCAGTAAAATAACAGCTTTTTCCCTAGATATCCTTTCTGTTCTGTTCTGTTGACTTTTAGACTTAAAAAAATAAAAATATGAAATATTTACATAACCAGTGTCTCAATGTGATTAAATTTGAGAGCAGACGTGCACCGTCCCGTGATCGACTTGTAGACAACAAATATATCCTATTACATTTATTTTAAATCATACTGCATGCGCGCAACAATTGGAAATGAAGTCTGCATTGATTTTTCTTCTTTTTCTCAACCTTATCCATATTATTCACGGCAGGTATGATTTTAATATCCCTATGTTTTGAACAATGCCGGTTTATTAATTGCTGGCTAATTTACACTAATGATTTTATGAAGTGTTCAATGCACTTGTATTATTGTGCACAGTTCGCGATGAATGTGTCATATTATACTCATATTTGTTTGTGTATAACATGACTGCACACATGACTCCACCGCACAACTACATGTACATACATATAAGTATTTGCTAAGTTGTCTGTTTAATATATGTTTACTCGCAGTCACATGAATTCACAGCGTATATGTATAACGTCATCGTAAAGTGTAACACACAATTAGCATAACCGCAATAAAAATGAATGGTAAATGTAATATATAGTTTGATCTCGACGAAATATGTAGCTATATAAGACCATATATTTTATGTCAGAAAATATTTATCCTGTCACCGAACCACTTGAATTTTTCCATGCAGTAATCTGAAACATGCATGCATGCACGCATGTATAGATAGGTAGTATAATAAAATTCATTAATCATGGAGTCAAATCATTGAGCACATTGCATAGTATATACAGTAGATTAAAGGATTAATGCAAAAAGTTTAATCAACATTGAGGTTTGTCTTCCAATACAATTCATGTACGGAAAGTACGGTTGCATGACAATGCAAGTATAAGCACATCCATAACAAAAATTTTCAATATAACAAGGTTTTTTGAAACAAGTTAAAGTATACGCGTACTATGTAAATGATTTGCGCAAAAAGTTGAAGCAAGATATAAAAAGCTTCCGACAATGGTTGAATGATGTGAACTTAAATACCTAAAAGTGTATCTCGAAAGAAAAAAAAATCAAACTGTGAATGAGGCAGGAAACTGTACTATGCTGCCTGTAATATAATATTCGGCTAAAGTAAGGACGTGCAGGCGACTATATTATGCTGATCTCATTGACAAGTGCTCAGGTGACTTGCGAAAACTTTTTAAGCTGACGTCTTCTCTCTAACCTTTGTGATGAAAATCTCTTGCCTCCGCGTCAATAATTTTGTTCAACTAGTGACTGAGTAAATTTGGCAAATTTAATTTCAGAACCGAAATCCATAGAAGTGCAGTACAACTTCGTTCTTTGAACTTACATAATTTTGTCAGTTAACAACTTAACACAAGAATGGGCTCGCGATATTAAGCTATTATGAATTAAGACATCAAATGCCTCTTGCACTTGCATAATCCAATTCCACCCTATAGCTGGTGAAATTATACGTTGATGATTAAAGAACTGTATAATAACAAAACTGAAAATTAATGTCTTTACATCATCGTTATGTTACTATATTTTTGTAGCAATAGCGAAATCAATGACGGTGACTATTTGATCACTGTACCACGAGTGTTGCGAGGTGGGACGACTGTTAATATTGGTGTTAATATTTTTGGAAATGTTTCTTGCGATGTGGAAATCAGTCTGCTTGGACGCTTTGGAATCAACGGTGGAGCAAAAGGCCATTTTCAACCCAATGAAATTGCAAAACTGGAACTGAAGGTTAGAGTCAACGCTGCATGTTTACAATATCTGAAACTGGCTATTCGGCCCTTTCAATTATGTCGTATCAAAAGTAATTCGCTTTCATAGGTGGTAAGGGTCTTAACCATGCAGATAATGCAAACCCTTGGAACTTTGAAGGTTCAGGCAATAATGTATGCGTCTGCATGTGCTACATTCGCAATTGCATTCTATGTTTTGTTTGCGTATAACTATAATAAAATAACGGTGTTTTACGTTTTCACCCAAAATAGCAGGATGCGCAATGTAGTATTTCCTACCATTGACTACGCAAATTAAAACGATGAAGGCAAACTAATTCTTGTTTTTATTTGAAAGGTACCAAATGAGTTTGTGCAAAGCGTAAGAGCAACGGTTGGCAACAACACATCAGAAACAAAAATTTCCTATGAAGAGACTACCCCTGTGAAAATTTTCATTCAAACTGACAAACCAATTTACAAACCTGGACAAGAAGGTGAACATTTTACCATACAATGATTATACTCAGGTTCAAAACGATTTATAAATGATTCATGAGAATCGTTAAACACTGACAGAATATAAACTTTTCATGCACATATTCTCCTTCTAATACATGCCATGTATACATGTAGCTGCATGTATCGTGTTTTCTATTTTTAAAATAAAAATGAGTTATTAGTTATTCATTACGAGGTATTGGTTTGAGTTATTTTGACATAGGTAAAAAGCAAAAAATCACTTTCATATTTTAAGAAAAAATCTGATTTTAGGAAAATTTTCTAATTCCCCTCGGGGAAGAATACGAAAATGTTCTTATTTTTTTAAGTTTTAATATAATATGATTTTTCATTAAAACTTGTTCTTTAGTTCAGATGAGGATCATTTATGTCAATTCCGAATTGAAACCTGCAGGGAAGAAGGTAATTAAACTATGAAAGTCAGTGTAATGTGATGGATCTTGGTACGTATGACGCGGCATATAAACCAACGTATACCTATATATTTAAGCAGGCATATACCCTGACTTTGAGAAAAGGGAGTCCTTATTCACATGCAAACTGTTTTTTCAGTTTTCGTGGGAATTTCAATTCTCTTAAAAAACATTGGATATTTAAAAGAACTCCGAAAACTACATATAAATTTTTATTCTTAAGTTTTATCCTGGTTGTGACGTCATGCATAAACCAAAAGAGGTATACGCATATCCAAGATGGCGGAGTGTACCATTATTATTCTAGAAATGATCGATATCGGAATATTCTATATATCAACGAAGAACGATAGAGCAAATCTGTAAAAAGATTTTGGAATATACTGAATGTCTTTTAAAATAAGACGAAGTTAATTTGTATTGGCAATGTCCTTTAAACAATGCGAAATGCAAATTTAGTATCAACTGACCTTTGACTTTGAATTAGAATACATATCTCTACCATAGTCCTCTGTTCGCAGGTGCAAAAAGAAATTAATCGGTCAATTAAATTATATAAGATTATTTAGGTAAATGAATCTCTAAACTTGGTTTACGCTATTTTTCACTTGCGTTTAATATCTGTATGTATAAAACCATTTTACTAAAATATATATATAACTCTAACGCCAATCGCGCACGTGATCAATTGCCAGTTGAAGAACTATGTGTGGTTAATACCTTAACTGTATACATGTTCGACGAACCTTCTGGATTTCACAATGAGGAATAAAATTGTTAAATATGCATGAGATGCATGCATGCAAATATTCATACACTATATATACTCAAAACAAAAACAAATAAATTTCTCAATATATTTCTCTTACAGGTGTCCTCTGTTATAGTACAGGTATGTTTTAGAAAATGACGATTTCTCTATCCTTATGAACAATGAGCAGTGCCGTATATTTAGGGCTTTTTCTTTTCTGAGTGTTACAGACAGTGAATAATTTAAAATGGATTGCCTTAATTTATTGGACTGATTTTTTATTGGTTAAAACAACTAATATCATGGTTAAAACAATCAATTATTCAGTTGTTTTTACCAAATAAAATTGTGATAAAAAAGTGATGAATCTAAGAGGAAATTCGAAATAGACCAATCAGCAAATTTGCATACATTTTCAGTAAGTAATCCAATCAGAATACATAAATACTGACGACTTCCGCTAAAAAATGACGTTATCATTTAACATCAAGTACTAAAAATTTGGGCATTCTGATTGGCTTAGCCTGAGAAATGTAAACAAATGTGCCAAATAGTCCAAAATGAAATTCCTCCTTAATCTAAGGCAATTTAAATTCGTTTCTTGTTTTACTTACGCATCTCTTTTACAGTGATATTCTGATAAATTCGTTCCAGGAACCAAGTGGTTCGAAGATAATGAAGTGGACTGATGTTGAACTACACGATGGTAGGTTGTAGGTTCATATACGACTTGCATGCATGCAGGCTTGGTTCAATTCCACACAATGAAAACCGCACCTAAAAAGACGTACACTATAATAACTGTAATTAGTCAGTTAACCGTAGGAAACTGCAACAAACCTAAAAATCTACTCTCATAGTGATCCTCTTTCCAGCTGAAATGGAATTAATGTCTTGGTCAATATTTCAAAATTTATTTCTCTATATTATATGTTTGCGGTCATCAGCTAATTGTTTTATCTGCGGCTCTTTCTGACATCAGTGACATGCACTGTCTGCTTGACCTCTTTCTATTCAAAAAGTAAAAGAAAAAAGTTAATGGCTCGACTCTTTCCACCAATCAAGGTTAAATGTTGTGAATTGACAGTATGAAACAAATATAAAAGTAACGACTGCATAAAAAATTTTGTGGGCGCATGTCTAATACTTTGTGTTGTTTACTTTTCCATTTCTTTATTGCATATCTAACCCGAAAAAGTTTGGAAAAATAGTCGTGCTGTACAACTATGATTTAGCACTAAGTTGATATGATTTGTCAGTTATAATTCGTTTTATTATTTATCATCAATATTATCTTCCTAAAACAAGCCGTAATAAGGACAAATTCCTTTGACTATCGTTGAAGTATTTCTCTTTCATCGTGAAGTATACTGAATTTATTGCACTTCTCTATCCTGCGAATACTTTGCCAACGGTTTTGAGCTATATTGACTAAGAGAATAATTCAGTAGCAACTAGCTAATAAAGCAATGTAATTATAAAGCCTAATCTGCATGCTATATGCCCTACATTCAGAAATTAAATTGTATGTGTTATAAAACGCACTTAGGAATTGCAGGATTAAGTCTTAACCTATCGAAAGAACCAGTTCTAGGAAAGTGGAAAATACAAGCAACTATCGAGGTAAAGTTTATGTTCATTATAATATCTCCTCCAGGGGGGTGGTTGGAATAAACCAATAACATATCCTGTAGTGAATTCGTTGATGATTTACAATACTGATTTTCAATTGTGGTTGACCAATGCTGTTAAGTCTTGTAAAAAGTTAACTACATTCTCATATAACAAGGTCTTAAAATATATGTGATAGTATATAGAATAAAATAAGAAACGACCAGTGTAAACGACGTTTAGCAGCTAGGGAAATCTATAGACATGTGGTCTATAATAATTCTCAGCAAGGTGTCACTGAAGCGCATCCTTGCAAAAATCAATACATCAATAGTTGATGTGGGTATGCATGATCTGGCTTAGCCTCGTGGTTAAGAAGTTTATTTAACATCTAAAAACAATTTATCTTTTAGGGAATAACCGCTACAAAGAATTTTGAAATAGAAAAATACGGTAATGCTTTTTGTCAAATCATTAACAATTATTGAATTCGATTTTCACATAATAGAGTCTCTCGTCATGCACAACCTTTCTTCATATCATATATGAAGACCGAATTGTTTAATTATCACTTCAAAATAATGAAAATTATAGCTCTTTTCGCCAGTGTTAATTTATGTTCTTTCACAAATTTTGCTCCTTTGCTCCATTAAAATCTATTGCATGCAAAGTTTTTAAAAAAAATCAAAAATGCATTTGATATGTTGAAATCCGCAACCAACTATAATACTTACGCACGGCATAGCACCGTTCTTCAAATGGATAGGAAAAGATTTTGAAGCTTTTTGAAGCTTCGTTATGGTCATTATTCGCATAATACCTATATATCGTTCTAATACCGTTTGAGTCAACGCTCTAAATTTCAATTTTATTGTGACGATATATTTCTATGAAGCTCACCATAGAAACTTCGTCGCAATTATATATTGCTCACCTTATTTTATAGCGAGTAAGCATCAAATGTTCAGTTCATTTAAAAAATTGGGAAATTCGACAGACCGAAATTCACAGTAAAATTTTATTGCCATATAAACTCACAGTAGTAAAAGAAACGTCATGTTTACCTGTCGGTTTATTGTAATATGTAGCCAGTGGCGTAGCCAGCCTGAAGATTTTGTCCCGCTATGTAAATTTCGAATTATTATAATTATTCATGTCTTTAGAAATTTATTGTGTCACAGTCAGTGAACACTAAAATATTAGCATAGCGGGACAAATCGCCAGGCTGCATGGCTACGCTACTGTATGTAGCTAGTGTTGTAGAATATCTCCCGTGCAAAAATTGAATTTTCAGTTTTTAGCCCCAGATCCTAGTACTGAGAAATATCCTCTCATCTTCTCTCACCGCAGGCAACGTATTTTCGACAATCTATAAATAAAACCAATAAATACGACTTTAAATGTTTCCGTTAAAAAGTATATAGCTATTTCAATTATGTATTTCTAGTGTTGATACCTTCCTAACAATGTTTTTCATGCTATGATGGCTAGAAAATTAAATGACCATATATAGTCGTATCAAAAATTGCTGGTCAAAAACCACATTTGCAATAGTAGGACTCTACTAAATTTTATTATGGAATTTAAGATGCATCAAATTGATACGCGGCATGCATGTATTAATTCATCGAAATGAAGTTACTTAGTAGCTACATGCCGTTATTTCCACAGTCGCAAGGCAGACACATCGTTGAAATCAAGCCAATTTTTTAATAGTTATTAATAATTAACAATCTCACTATTTTTTTTACATTTTAGTTTTGCCCAAATTTGAAATAAAAATCGAATTCCCTCCTTACCTCGCTAAGGATAAAAAAGATATTCCTATTTCTGTATGTGCCAGGTAATTGCCTTTGATATTTATATTTCATATAGTGTTATTTACAATGCATGTATGATGTTTGTATGTACGGATTGACATTTATAATTCATTAGTAATAACTATAGCGTGACTCTGCGTTATATAGGCAGGGGCATTGATCATATTAGGTATACACTGCATTAGTTGTGAAACAGATTTATTCTAGTTAATATATAAACCGTTGCATGCCTTGAATAATTCTAAGAAGTATTTTATTAAAACGTTATATACTTCTTTTTTTAAGTTATACATATGGAAAAGATGTTACAGGAGTGCTCAAAACCCAATTATGTCTTGTGGGTAATTTTGCGGCGTCGTCGTGGTGGTGGTGGACGAGGAATATTCCCAAATTATGTGTGACAGAAGTTAAAAATGTAGGTTTGTACCAGTAATGGTTGACATTTCAACCAGAAGTGCATTCAAATGGTTCATGTAGATTCCCCGCGCAATTCTAAATGATGAAGCAATCGTATTCTTAATTAAGTTAGCAAGAGCAAGGTTTTTCTTGACCATGCTCGTACACAGGCGCTTTAGATGGGAATAAATATAGCCATACTACAAGTTTTTATATAGATCAGTGGCTAATCCTAGTGAACACGCAGGAGATTTTGGGGATGAAGAGGGGAAAGAAGCAGATTACACATGTTACATTCCAATATAACCAGGGAGCAGCGTGGCAGCTAGCGTCTTCAAACAACTTAGCATCAAATGTGGTATAACAACTGCCTAAAATATACAAAAACACTTCTCTACCTTTCGACCTGAGGACCTTCGTCAGGAGAGTATGAAAATAAATAGTGGAGAACACATGTTTTTTATAGGCACAAAACATGTGTTTTTGAAAGTGTTGTTTGAATTGTGAAAAGACAAATATCAATATACACTATAAAACTTTTAAGGTTGACTGCAATCACAGAATAAAATAACATTTTGTAGTGTTTTAATGGTTTGAAGCTCGAGTTCTAAACATTTGCTTAATTGCTGCAAGAGTCCATAAACTACTTTCCTAATGGCCTAATGCAGCATGACTATTATATAGACTGATTTGTGTCGGGTTAGCTTCGAAAATTGTGTATTTGGTTTTAAATAAAGATATGCAAGTTGCGGCATGCATGTATTTTTAGTATAGTTATTTAAAGCGCCTGGGTACGAGGTTGTGATTAGACTACATAGCTACAGAATGTCGTTTCGTTTATTTTGGCTTTGAGTGTGCTCTTAAATAATGTTTTGAGGTTTGCATATGAATGTGGTACAATTAACAAAAGTTTCGTTTACGTTTCTGTATTAAAATTCAAGTCTGTATACACGACACTGTTATCGGTTGCCATACGAAGTTTTGGACTTTTTTATGAAGTGTTGTTATATGCAGCTATATAAAAATTTAAAATCCGTCGAAATCCTATGCCATCACAGTTATTAGAATAATATTATACATGGTTTGGAGTCTAGATGGAAGTACAATACAACTCATTATATCTGTGTTATTGTCCAGGGGCCAGTTGTTCAAAAGCCGGTTAACGCTAACCCAGGGTTAAAAATGCCTAACCCAGGCTTAAATTTTAAACCTTGGTTGATTTGCGTTGCACAAAGCTCGGTTAGCGTTAACCCTGGGTTAAAATTGATAAAAAATTAACCCTGCTAGCTAGGTGGGTTAACTTTTTAACCCTGGGTTAACTTCGATTCAAAATGGATGAATAAGGAGCTGAAACACGCAAACACGTATAATTCGTCATGAATTTTACACTTTTGAAAGGTTTTAGGAATAATTTCGACAGCAAAGAATTATTTAAGTTTGACTTCGTTCGGTTTCAGCTGATGTATTGATTTATTTATCTTCGCTTCAATGCAATACATGCACGATAAATGAATACAACCGTACAAATTGGAACATCGTAATCGAAATATTTGTTTCGGATGCCAAAATTCGATTCTTTTGATTGGCAGCAAGTGGTAAGGCTACGTTTGTTCCTGAATTTTGAATAATCAAAGAATGCCTGAAATTTAAAATAGATTGTTTATAATTTCCTTAATTTTATTTCACATCGACATTGTTTATCATACAAAATAGCCTTTCATTTCGAATCTTTCCAAAATTTCATGCACGGAAATTGCTGTTCAAAACAACGTCCCTGCGACCCTGCCCTCACGGCATATAATCTTTCAACTGACAATATATCCTCGTCGGGTAAAGTTTTGACGCTCGTTTATTGACCAATCGAAAACGTTCTTATATCCAATTTAGTCCTTAAAATACATTTAATCTTAGGTTAAATATTTTAACCCTTGGTTAACTAACCCTACCTTGTTCAAAATACAATAGACACGTTGCGAATAGGGAACAATTTTTTGCATAAATGTTCCCCGACATAGTTAATGAGTTCTGTAGAGTTCATACTTTATTGCATTAGAAGTTCTCATTGCACTTTCATCTTCATTGCTCTTTACTACATTACAAGTTCTATTGTACTCTTATGTAGTCTTTAAACCCCCATATATTCTATTAACTGTGCTGCCATGGATGCGGTCGATGTTGGATCGGGCTAGCTGGCAGGGGCGGCGGAACAAGGGGGGCTAGGGGGGCTAAAGCCCCCCCCAGAAGTAAAAGTGGGGGGGCTTAGCCCCCCCAAAAAATTTCATGAAGAAAGCCAGAACGGGAGAGCAAATATACAAACTAAGTTACCACGAAGTCGTCAAATTAATGCTCGCCGGCGTATTAAATGCTAATAAGATATCCTATATTGTAATACGGATCAAGTGAATGTAAATTGACTTTCTTTGATCTTTCATAGTTGTCTTTAACAGCAGAATATTCGTGGTTGTATATTGTTATTATTTTCGGACCGCCATTTTGTTTGGAAATTATTTTCAGAATTTGAGAGATGATTTTCCAAATGTAGGAGTCTAGGAGATATCACTACACGCGCTGTGGCGTTTTCAGTTTGTGTTTGCCCATGAAAAACTACGATGAAAGTGGCAAGTAACACTCTGAAATGGCCATTTCCGAAGATCTAGAGCATTGAAATTCAAAAAAAATTTCGCTCGGCGCCAACCATGGTGGCGCCTGGTGATATTAGCCCCCCCAAAATATATTATGTTCCGCCGCCCCTGCTAGCTGGCCCGGAACGTTAGGAATTTAACTCAATCGTAAATCATTTCGCAAAGTGACTCAGTCGTAAGTCATTTTGATAAAGCGTATCATGAACTACATACAAAATGACTGCACAAAAAACGATAAATGCTTGGTTTGAAATGGCGAGGAGTTGTTGCATGCATGCATGTATTTCTAATAAAGATCACCTACAATACTCCAGAAATAACCTATAACACTGCGGTTGCGGTTCGTTGCGCTCGACCGATAGAAACAGCCGTCGGCCGCAAGGGAAAAATACGATCCGGTTGCCGTTCGCTTCCGAAACGGAGTGGTATGAGCTGCTGAGAACGACAACACATTAGTCAAATCGGTCGAACTGCGGGGCGACCGAGATTCGACCTCGGTCGCCCCGCAGTTCGACCTCGGTTTGACTGAGGTTTGACCTATGTTAACCGCGGTTTTTCTTAGGTTATTTCTGGACAGTACTGCATGCACGTATATTAAATTGGTTGTCTCAGATGCATTATTAATTTTAACCAATATTAAGAGTCCACTTTATACTTAATATAACCAATGTTTCAATCGTTGATCTCTTAACATCGTTCAAATAAAATAGGTGTAGAAATAGATTAATAAATCTGGGACAAAAAACTGTTTAACATTCATTTTAACAATCCATTTTAGAACTAATATATGCAAAGCTATATTTCATGTTTTTTGTTTGTCTTTTCAGCTAACAGGGTGTCAAGAATATGATGCTTGGAAGTTACTTATTGAGCCAAATAGGTGGAATTACCCGTACCGTTACTTATTTCAATACAACAGTTATCGTGTCCGTATTCAGGCAATTTTTACCGAAACATCGACTGGGATCACAAGAGAAAACATTGCTACTTCATCATCCTCAAAACGTTATTCAAAACAAATCTCCTTTCTTGAACTTCCTAAAAAATTTAAACCTGGTTTACCCTTTCGATTCGAGGTATGTTTTAGATTGTATTATGCCGTAATTGCAATTTAAATTATTAATTAGATTATTAAATTTAAATAAGCATTTGAAATAAACGATAGTATTTTTAGTTATTCTCATCATTATATATATATAGTTAAGTCGAAACATGTTTGCTATGAAAAAATTTATCAAATACTTAATTGCTCTTGTGCTAAACAGATCAAAGGTTAAATTTTAATTATTTGAATTATTAATTATTAATTATTAATTACAAAAATCATATTTTTTTAAAAACGTGCCTATACCACTCTGTAAAAACAGATTGTTAAAAGAACTAATTTGAAAATGGTTGTCTCAGATTCAATTCTTTTTCATCTGTTCTGTTTGGTAAAAGCAACCAAAATATTGGTTGTTTTAACAGGTTTTTAGTGATTTAAACCAATAAAAAAGATTGGTGCAATAAATGAATGAAACAATTTTAAATTAAGTATAAAAACATTTAAGTACGTGTTGCGAATAGCTGGCGAATGGAAAATAGGAGAAAATAATAGTGGTGTTTGACATCAGTTTTGAATAAACCATGATTTTCTTGGGTTATTGCGAATAAACCACGATTTTCATGGGTTATTGCGAATAAATTATGATTCGCGTGATCTGTTGCCAGGCAACAAGAAACCACGTGATTGATTTTGACCAATTGCGTGAGTAGATTTAGGCCAATGCACGAAGATTGTGTATTAATATTTGATATTCTACTCACGCAATTGGTCAAAATTAATCACGTGGTTTCTCGTTCATTGTATGGTCAGCGCGTGGGTTTTTTTGTTAACAAAATGCTCACAACCGTCTCTAACCCTTAAATAATAATCACGTTGCATGATGAAAATAATAACCACGAACAGACTAACCAACGGATTTTCTTCTCTTTTAAGATCAAAATTTCATATCTTGATGGAAAACCAGTGACTGATGGTGATGTTCTTTTATCGATCTCAGGAAAACGTTTTTACAATCGCGCTTATAAGACGTTAATGATTAAAAATTATTCCGTCAAAAAGGGTTTAATAGCAGTTAGCTTCGAAGACATGCCGCATGATACAGAATACCTAAGTCTTAGGGTAAGTCCATCCTCTTCAAAAGTCAGTTATTGTAGATGCTTAAAAATGTAAGAATTTTTTTAGATTTCAAGAATATATGTAAAATAGACTCGTTAAACATTCGTCTTAATGCGCAAACATGCTACGAATGCAAATCGGCCTATAACTTCGTCCTGCATCATGCAATTCTGTTAAGGTAAAGTTTGTTTTTAACTCATTAGTAGCAACCTTATCAATTTTAGGCTACCTACGGTATCATCAGTTCATTTGCTTATTCAAACGCTTGGTATTCTCCAAGTCTGAGCTATTTGCAACTTATTAAATCACAGCGGTCCCCAACAAAGGTAAACTTCAACTTGTACTGTGTTTTCATATCGCAAATTTTTGAAGGGAAACGAAGAATATATAGAATATTCTCAATAAAGAATATTCCGCTCTTCCCGGTAATTTCTTTTACTATCCCCTATATATACACCCGTTTGCAAAATTGCAAAAACGTTGGCCGCAGATAGATATATAGATAGATACCCGAAATCTAATTAGAATTGCATATGTTGTGTAATATGATTGAAATCCCATGCAAATGTAATCATATGCAATTCTAATTAGACTTCGAGTATCTATCTATCTATATCTGCGGCCAACGTTTTTGCAAATGGGTGTATATATATATATATATATATATATATATATATATATATATATATATATATATATATATATGTATGTGCTATATGCTATATGTGTGTTTAGATTGGAAGTCAAGGCGCTTTGAAGGTTTCATACACAGTTCGTTATGATGCAGCAAAAATCACAAGCTTTCACCACACGGTAATGAATTAAATACTTGACTAATTCAATTGTTTTTCAATGTGTTTAAAAACGAACTTTCTCTAAGCCTCATTTATATGTAATAATAGTTTTTAATAACGACCAGAAGGCTTTCTTAAAATCAGATTTTAATGCAATGCTTCGACGGTTTTTTATTGCGTAAATGTAACCTAGCTGATGATGGAGTAAACTCCGAAACGTTCTAACCATTTAATTAAAATTTTATATTAAGAAAGCTTTCTTGTGGTTATTAAAAACTATCAACTCAATTTTATTACTCTAGACTATAAACCCATGACTATATGCAAGAGGATTTTTCCAGGCAGAACTAGACTACTTCACCAACATAAAAATTTCAAAAAAATTTGATTTAATAAATCAACTACGTTTTAATGCACGATTACTTTATATACGCGGGGTTTTTTGACACTTAGTGTCGGAGCACACATAGTTCATATATTCATTTACAAGCACAGCGAGCAAAAAAGCTGTGAGATATATTGCGACATGTGTACATCATATTTCAGAAAAATATAACTTTAAAATGTGAGCAAAGCCTCACTGGAATCGATGACCAAATTACATCGTTTTAAGGTCGAAAACACAAATCCAGTCGCCGTTTGTATTACCATATTTATCATTTTTAACTGATCTAAATCATAAGTTAGGGTCATATTTCCTGACGGTTTATGGTTTGTGGCAATGGCGTAGCCAGCCTGCCGACTTTGTCCCGCTATGCAAATTTCAAAAATTATTAAACTCTTTAGAAATTCGTTTGTTTTCAAAGTCAATGAACACCAAAATATTGCCAGGCTAGCTTCGCCACTGATTTGTGGGCTCTGACTTTGCATGATATTAACAAAGAAAGCATAGAGACCTTGCACCGGACGTGACCCGCAGAAATTGGCAAAAAACTTTAAGATGCGTGATGATTATTACTTTTCTTATCAAGATTATGTGCAAAGGAAATCTGGTATCAACTGGAGTTACCAAAATACGTCTAAATTCTTTACACTCAAACAAGACACTCGAACACAGCTCACCACCACCTATTACAACTTTAGGCCCATTTATCCATCCTTTTACGACCATATCAGCTCCAGCTGTTAAAGAATTTGAGATTAAATTCAACATTACCCAACAGATGGTCCCTAGTTGTAGAATTCTTGTGTACTATGTCCGGCCAGATAGGGAGACCGTTGGTGATAGTATTGTTTACGACATTGAGGACAGACTTGAAAACCAGGTAAAATATATGTCATACAAATTGAATTGAATTCAAATTTCCATTAAATGAACTGTTTTGGTTTACATATGTACCCAGTCTCTTAACTATATACAAGAAAATTAGATAGGAGTTTCAGATAATTACTCTAATTACGTTAGCAATGCGTTAGCTACTTGCGATAATTTTTAACGCGTTGTTGAAATGAGATTATTGGGGAACCTAAGGTAAGACAAAAATAAATATGAAAAATTGTCATAACTTTACTAAGTTTACACTAAGTCGCTTCATGCGTGGAAATCGTACGGGCTTTTGACTTTTCTAAAGATATAATGTGATGAAACTTTTATTTATATATTTGTAGGTATCGGTAGACTTTGCGGAAAAACAAAAGAGACCTGGTGAAAAAACCAAGATGATCATAAAGGCAAAACCTGGATCTCGTATAGCAATTTCTGCCTTGGATAAAAGTGTTTTACTTTTACGAAACGCAAACGACTTGAAGAAAAGTGAGGTACGTACGGAACAGCTAGGATAAATGGGCAGTTAGCTAGGCCAATTTTAATCTTGGCAAAAAACTAGCTATAATAGAATTTAGTCAAAAATAATAAAGTGGGAATTCCGAATTAGGACAACCTGGGGGAGAAATGTTGTCAAATATTCTTACTTATTTAATATTATTTAATATTATTTAATATTATTTAATATTATTTAATATTATTTAATATTATTTAATATTATTCAATATTATTTAATATTATTTAATATTATTTAATATTATTTATTATTATTTCATATTATTTAATATTATTTAATATTATTTAATATTATTTAATATTATTTAATATTATTTCATATTATTTCATATTATTTCATATTATTTTATATTATTTCATATTATTTCATATTATTTCATATTATTTCATATTATCTCATATTATTTCATATTATTTCATATTATTTCATATTATTTCATATTATTTCATATTATTTCATATTATTTCATATTATTTCATATTATTTCATATTATTTCATATTATTTCATATTATTTCATATTATTTCATATTATTTCATATTATTTCATATTATTTCATATTATTTCATATTATTTCATATTATTTCATATCATTTCATATTATTTCATATATTTCATATTATTTATATCATATTTATTTTCATTATTATTTCATATTATTTTCATATCATATTATTCATATTTTTCATATTATTTCATATTATTTCATATTATTTCATATTATTTCATATTATTTCATATTATTTCATATTATTTCATATTATTTCATATTATTTCATATTATTTCATATTATTTCATTATTTCACATTATTTCATATTATCATATTATTTCATATTATTTCATATTATTTCATATTATTCATATTATTTCATATTATTTTATATTATTTCATATTATTTCATATTATTTCATATTATTTCATATTATTTCATATTATTTCATATTATTTCATATTATTTCATATTATTTCATATTATTTCATATTATTTCATATTATTTCATATTATATCATATTATTTCTATTATTCATATTATTATCAATCATTTAATATTATTTCATAATATTTCATATTATTTAGTATTATTTCATATTAAATAATATTGAATACTGCACTCATTAGATAAATTAGCCTACCAACAGCATGCAGGAAATGTTAATTATACTTATGTACAGCACTTTAAATTTCATCTTATTATTTTAACCATACACTTTGTCAATATGTGGCATTAAGAAGAAAGTTTTCCGCGCAGAAGCGTAGCCAGCCCGACAATTTTGTGTAGCTGTGCTAATATTTTGGCGCTTATTGATGTGAAAACAATAAATTCCTAACGGATAATGATAATAACATAAAGGTCTGTTCACACGAACCAATATTGTTTGATTCAATTCACTTCTGATGGATGTTTTACAGTCTGTTGTCTTATGATGTTTATGGGCAGCTAATGCACTGAAGCCAATGCAGTACTGCTTTATCCATAACAGACCTTATTCCATACGTCAGAAGTGAATTGGATCCAACAAAATTGGATCGTGTGAACAGACCTGAAAACTTGCATGGCAGGACTACATCGTCAGGCTGGCGACGCCACCGTTTCGAGGTATTTGCCCAGCCAGAATATCCCTATGCGACCCTGGGGGTGAATTGGTAGCGCATCGTTGCCATAGCGACCAATACTGACCAATACTGACTAAAATGGGCAGCAGGCATAATTTTGCGTCATAAATTTTAGGTCATGGGCATTTTAAATCGACAAGATGTTAGTCCAATCGAAAGATACTTGGGGAACTGCGACAATTATTGGTCAAAACCTTTTATAGGTGATGCTTCTGAAGCGTTTAATGTGAGTATAACAGTCGTGAATCGTTTTACAAGTTGTATCAGAAAAAGAGTAATAAAAGAGCAGTTGTTTAGCATTAATTCCGGCGTTACCTTTCATGAAAGAAGGGAATAATTAATACCTCCTTTTCGCTTGTTTACATAAAAGCCCGACATCAACACTATATCTTACATGAGAAGAAGCGAATGACACTTTACTTACTCGTTAATTATAATAGCTCAGCTCGAATTATAATAGAACATGTTTTAACTGCCGAAGTGAAATTTTGTTATCGTTAGCACTTTTGGAAGGTTTCGCATGGTTTCGCGGCTGGTCCGCTAATATATTGCGTCACAATTATTTTACTTTATGCAGAAACGGTTAAATAAATTGATAGAAAATGATCATCAATTTGATTAATTGGAATAATCAATCATAATATGTGTAAACAAACGCTTTGTTAACATTTTAAACCGTTACATTCCTGCAAATATTACAAACTGCCTGCATTTCTTTCACCATAATATTATCCATGATGATTTTTCGGTATGGGCGTGAAACGTTGAATGGTAACACTTTTACGCAAGCGCGAAATTTAAACCAAAGAAAACTGGTAGTCATCAACATCCTGATTGTCTAAAACAAAAAGTTCGAATTCCCACAACAACATCTGCACTTTGACAATGTGATCTGTCAAATCAATCTTTGCATTTATTATTAAGCAATTCTTCTTGGGCAGTTCATTTACCAATCTAATTTGATTTCGTTTCTTGAAGTATACTGGTTGGTCAGTGAATCGGAAGTGCATGAGGTCTTTTTTCGGAGAGTTTTCAAAATATTTGCCACTGACGAGCTTCGTTAATCAACTGAAAAATGGCTTTTGGCACACACAATAGGCGGAAAAGCTGAGTTCAAAAACATTTATTTTTATTTAGGGTTTACAAAGACAATAAAAAGCGACCGTCAGGCTGTTTAGGATACTGCCATTTTCCACATTCCAAGCATATTTATTAACGTGAAGAATTCATTACAAATTTTCATTCGCCATTTTTAATGTTTAAATAAAACTTTCTATGTAGATGGCAGGTGTTGTATTTCTCTCAAATTTGAACGTTTTTACCCAACCGTGTCGCAGAGGCCATTTGAAAACCACCATTCGAACTTTTTTCGGTAAGAATATATACTAGTGATGGGCAACGGAAGAGGTTATTGATAGACTACGGGAGAATTAGCGCGAAAGGCCGGGCGAGGGTACTAATTCCATCCCCCCTGAATTTAATTACGCCCGCGCAGTGAACTAAAAAAACTAAAACGATAACTTTGCTGCCATCTTGAAGGGTCAGAAATACACCCCATCCTACTTTTCAGTGACAATTGAAGTGGATTTTTATAGCAAAGTTTTGCTAAAACATTTCACTCCCTTGTCCAATAAAGGTGTTTTGCTTGTGTGCGGTTCCCGCCTCAGTATTCAAATTCAGTTTCATCCAACTTCATCATTGGGGTTCATCATCGTTCCAGTTGTATTAGAGTTTACTAACCCAAATGCAAAATTAGCGTGAGTTTAAGAGGATGTGTCGAAACTGGTAACTAGCAAACGTTGCAAACGTGCGATTGGTTCAATGGTTTGCTTCAGCATAACTCCAGTTTTTTTGAAATTATTGTTAAGCTCGGAGTCATCCTTTTTTACACTGTTTTCGAACAAGTATATGAGTAGTTTTGTATTTTAAAGTACGCATTTTGTAAGTGTGATCTGTGGATTTTATTACGATTGACAACTGATGTATCAAAACTTTTTGAAGTTGATCCAGCCCGACAAAATTGTCCTTGATAGGGGATTTCGCTTATACGACTAGAAAGTCAAGCACTCAAAAATTTAATAGCACGGATGCTTTCACTACTTTTGAACAACAATTGAAATAGTGATGTTGCATTTAGAAAATAAACTGCATTTCACAGTAAACTTTTACTGTTGCTTCGAGTACATAACATAGGCGAGGAAATTTGGCATGCATATGCATGTATTTCTAGTACATTATCATTATTATACACTCACTTTTATCGAGTATATTAAGGAAATAATTTTGATAAAAAACAAAAAGTAGCCTAATCCTGTTACATGGATTTATTGGTTATAGGTTCACAAATCCCTAAATGATTTTACTCAGTTTAGCTTATGACTGCGCTGACTCCATCACACGTGCAGTCTCAACGCAGTATCTTTTATAAAATCACAACATCAGATGTATGATACGCTCAGATGTATAAAACACCAACAATCGACATTTGCATTTGTCATGGTTTAATGAGTATCATTATGCAGAATATATAAACACTCAAGTCCAGGTTATACGCATTTTGGTCCCGGCCGTAAGTGCTGTGTCGAATGCAATTCAAACAATAGATATATTCAGATGTTAATCCTCGTTAATTTATATTAACATCTCATTATCCATTGCTCAAATTGCATTCGACACAGCACTTACGGCCGTTTTCCACCTCAAACGTATCGTATTTCATTGTTTTCTGAAAGTCATTAGTTCTGGTCGAATACGTCGGAAACAAAGAAATACGCTACGTTACGCTACGATACGCTACGATACGGTTGAAGTCCGACTCACTTGTGTGACGGAAAAATGACCCTCGTTTCAGTTTTCTTATTACTACGGCATAGTTGTTTCTATCAAATCGAACCTATGCCTGGTAAAGAATAACCACTCAATCAAAAACCTTTTTGCTCCTGAGGTAGTCACGGTACCTCCAAAGATGACCACGAGACCTCCAGAGGTAGTCACGGAATTTCCAGAGGTAGTCACGGAAGCTCCAGAAGTATTCACGGAAGCTCCAGAGGTAGCCACGGCACCTCCAGTGGTATTCACGGAAGCTCCAGAGGTATTCACGGATGCTCCAGAGGTAGTCACGGAAGCTCCAGAGGTAGTCACGGAGGTTTTACATCCGACCACCAGATTGCCAAAAAGAAAGCAGAAGCCAATAAAGAAAGTGGAAGTCCGTAAAGATTTCCCGGAGACGTGGCTTTGGAGGGATGTGAAGTTGAAGTAGGTGCTTCTAAGGCACTGTTTAAACTACACCGGATTCGCATGGTCACGATATCAAAACTAGACATATCAGAGAGAGTTTTATTATCCCAACATGTATGGATAACATGGTTGCTTTACTATGATCTGCCAAATGAAAAAATTTTGGAACAAGAGATACCGTAAAGCAACTTAAGCTGATGTCGTGACCATGTGAATCCGGTATAGTTTAAACGGGTCTTAATAAGCGTGATAATTATTATCTTCAATATTGATGTAACTGACATCATGCATTCACACTTTTACAACATTTAGGTTTTTTTGAGATTCAACTGATTGAAGTTTCTTATCACCAACATATATTGACGTTAAAGTATTATATCGAACATTGGCCGCTCTTTTATTTTTCAGTATTTTTCAATGTTTATGAAACAGTGAGTTTACAGTCCTCCTTTTGTGATGATTCGAACGTGATTTGAATATGAGGGCGTTGTAATGCGTTAATGCCCAAACTATCATAATGTGGTCTTTTTCAAAGAATAAACTTCTGGCTAATATTGTACTATAGAACTTCTCTCTATATACGATTTAGGAGCAGGACTTACTTCTTGACGAAAGTTTGAACTCAGAAGATCCACACCTTTGAAATATAATCCGAATACAGTTTATTTTAACATAAGTATAAAATTGGTGTAAACAAATTTTTAGAATACGTATAATTAGCTGGTGTCGGTGCTATTTGAAAGCATTTTAGATTATTGGATGTAAACACCTCTTGCAACAAACTTCTTTCACGGCGATACTGGAGCTGAAATATAATAGTCAGAATAGGAAAATTCCAAGAAACGGAGAAACGGAAAATTCCAAGCTGCACGAATTCTATTCCACATGCATGAACTTCTTGCTTGACACCGAACCAAAGGGAGAATGATCGTAGTAAATTCACATGCAAGACCTTACTAAATGCTACGTTTGCATGCATTCTATATTCTGGATCAACATTTCCTCAATTCCGCTTTTTTTGTGTTATCCTAGTGACACATCTGAAATGCAAGTCATGGAGGTGGAAATTCCTGATACCATCACCACCTGGGTGGCAAAAGGTTTTGCTATGTCTTCTGTGTATGGCATGGGGATCTCAGATAAAACGAGATTAAAGGCTTTTCAACCATTCTTTATTCAAATGAATCTGCCGTACTCTGTGATCCGGGGAGAAGAAATACCTATCACTGTTACAATCTTCAACTATCTATCCTCCTGTGTTCCGGTAAGAATTTCTTGTTGCTTGTATTCTTATGACCACTTTCGACTCTCGAATTTAATACTATAAATTAGATCTGGGAAAAAACTTGTGTAAACTTTTATGAGCGTATAAAGATTTTACGAAATAAAAAAAGTTTATTGTGTCGCATTAATCTATAGGAAACAATCTATAAATAGATGCATTCATGTTGTAAATCACTGCATGCAAACACAACTTAAACCGCGTGGAACTGAAATAATTTTGTCTTATTATTACGAAGAACTAAACTTTCTGTGAACTCATCTAAGAACTAATCTTTATTAAAGCATATTAATGAACGAATTTTAATTTCGACGTATTTCGAACGAGTATCAATTTCTATCATGGCATTACCATATTCGCAGCCAGTCACTGCATTTTCCAGCCAAACAAAACTTAGAGTTGCCTAACGGCAGCCAGTAGCTGATTAAATATACAGCACCGGTGCATAGTGAAGAGGCTCTACTGTTCTCTCTCTATACTGTGGCCTTGTAAATTCCGGCCTCTAATTGGTCAAATGACCTCTGATTACTACGCGATGATTAATTCTCTATCATTTTTCAGCTGAAACTCGAACTTAATCGCGAAACTAAGGATTATAGAGTGACGTCATTCTATATTAATAAGTTGTGTGTATGTGGAGATGATGGAATTTCCGTAAAGTTCAAGATAATTCCCAAAAAAGTTGGGAACATTGCAATAAAGGTTACGGCTATAACTTCGGAGGCCCGACTTTGTCCCAAATCAACGATCTACGCCGCTGATGCAGTGAAAAGGAACTTACTGGTTGAGGTATGCTGAGTGAGTATATAACGGAACGTTAAAATGTTTGTATTGCAGTAGGAAAGCAATGAACTGAAATTTTGATAGTCACGGTAACTTTATTGGTGCAGTATTGACTAGATGTAAATCTAGATGTATAAACAAAACGTACATGTAACATTGATGAAGATGTAGATGTGGATGTAGATGTAGATAAAGATGTTGATGTAGATAAAGATGTTGATGTAGATGTAGATGTATAGATCTTGATGTAGATAAAGATGTTGATGTAGCTAGATGTATAGATGTAGATGTAGATGTAGATGTTGATGTAGATGTAGATGTAGATGTAGATGTAGATGTAGATGTAGATGTAGATGTAGATGTAGATGTAGATGTAGATGTAGATGTAGATGTAGATGTAGACGTAGACGTAGACGTAGACGTAGACGTAGATGTAGATGCAGATGCAGATGTAGATGTAGATGCAGATGTAGATGTAGATGTAGATGCAGATGCAGATGCAGGTGTAGGTGTAGATGTAGATGTAGATGTGATGTAGATGTAGATGTAGATGTAGATGTAGATGTAGATGTAGATGTAGATGTAGATGTAGATGTAGATGTAGATGTAGATGTAGATGTAGATGTAGATGTAGATGTAGATGTAGATGTAGATGTAGATGTAGATGTAGATGTAGATGTAGATGTAGATGTAGATGTAGATGTAGATGTAGATGTAGATGTAGATGTAGATGTAGATGTAGATGTAGATAAAGATGTGGATGTAGATGTAGATGTAGATGTAGATGTAGATGTAGATGTAGATGTAGATGTAGATGTAGATGTAGATGTAGATGTAGATGTAGATGTAGATGTAGATGTAGATAAAGATGTGGATGTAGATGTGAATGTGGATGTAGTTAAATGTCGCGTGATGTGTTACTTATGCGCGTTTTTGCAAACTCGGGGCACGACAGGAAAAACTGAGCCCAAGCAAAGAACTAGTCAATTAATCAGCCATTTAAAATTTTATAATAGTAAAGCTGCGGCAATGCACAAAAGACTATATCCCCTGACAAAATAATGTACTTATAATTTATACTTATTTATTTAATAGCCCGAGGGAATACAGCAAGACTATACAGAAGGAATCTATTTTTGCGCTGAAAACGGTATTCTGTCTACTTTCTGTCTCGCGAACTTCAAACAGTATAGGGATGCTGAAAAAAATATCCTAGATATTTTGGAAATAGCTTATTTTGAGCTAAAGTCTTTAAATATCTTTCCTTGTTTTTTTTTTATTTTTCCATAACATGGCAAAATTAATTCAAACTTTACATGATTATACATGCATATTTTTACCAATAGACCCGAAAAACGAGATGATTGATTTAGTTCTTCCTGAAATCGTCATTCCGGGATCCGTACTTCCACAACTATCAGTCGTTGGTAAGTTTTGGGATAAGCGAATTCCCAACCTTCTGCTATAAATTTAAATCCCAAACATGCATAAAACATTTTTTTATTGTATATTTCTCTTCGACTTTCGAAAAATGATGAAACATGAAATGTATACGCTATCTATAAAGACTACTTATTGTAAAGTCCGACATGTTCGACTTAACAAATAGATTACAATGAACCGTTGTCTGTTCAGTTATAGATACACGGTATGACGTCATATGTGATAAGAACAAAAAAAGTGGCCACGAGCCGCCGGGGCGAGTGGTCACTCTTTTGTTCTTATCACATATGACGTCATACCGTGTATCTATAACTGAACAGACAACGGTTCATTGTAATCTATTTGTTTTATATAATAAAACTGAAAAAAATCCAAAATTAAACCGGTAAAAAGAAAAAAGAAAATTGTTGTGACGTCATTCCGTGCGTCTGTCCTCTTAAAGATCATGGCTCTCGTCCAATGAAATTGCTTGAATTCTTTACGTTATTATATAAATATACTTACAACATGCAGCTGGAAAAAACGTCCCAAATTTCGCGAACTTAGAAAGGTTTGGGTATAAAAAGTTATATATATAAACGAAGTTGGAAGCTTTGATAAATTTGATTATAATCAAATTGTACGCTAGACGCAATAAGAGATTTTTATCATAAAAACCTAATTTTACTTGCATGCAGGCATGCGCGGGTTAAAAAAGAGTAAATTATATAATTATACAGTATACACAACATATTTACAAGATTTTATTTACGAAATTATAATATTTATATACAATTTTGAATATTTAAAATTCCATAATGTAAAAACAATTCTAATTAAAATTTGTTCATTAAATTAAAATAATTAAAAATATAACTATAGTACTATTGGACTAACAATATATAGTTATATATAACAATAGCTTTAAAAATCTAACTAATGCTATGCACTAAGGCACTAACAACAAATGTCGAGTAAATTAACGGCTTTACATATGAATGATTTGTTAATCTTTCCTTTCTTGTCTTAAGATTGAAAAACATCCTGGCTTTCTTAATGGTATATAAGAATGTTCCTTGTGAACAGCTAAACAATGGTTATAATCGTGTGAATAAGTGCGAGTGTTGTTGTAGGGCACTTCTTCATATTTCCGTGATTTAAAAATTGACATTCACCGTGCATTCACGAGCAAAATCAAACTTTCCGTTTTCTGATTTTGGGATGCTTCTTTCTAGCTGTACCTCACAATATTGATTTCACAATTCTGGGATTAAATCGTAACAATAGAACTACTGAACGTTTTCTTTAAAATAACTATTCCAGGGTATCAACTCTTTTTTCTTCAATTCCTATTAGGTGACATCATGGGTCCAGCTCTGTCCAATCTTGACGGATTATTGAGAATGCCCTACGGTTGTGGGGAACAGAATATGGCCAAATTCGCCCCAAATATATATATAATGGATTATCTTACAAACACAGATCAAGTTACTTCGAAAATAAAGGACAGCGCTATTCATTATATGAATTCCGGTAGGTGAAGATATTGAATTGTTTGTATATTAATGCTTCTGCAATCTGATAAATTGAAAATACAGTTGAAATGATCTTTTTTCAATAAGGACATCCAGCTTGTGTACAATTTGCGAACTTAAATGTTGGTTTTCAGGAAAATTATCCTCATCGGATCCGCACCGGATCGAACAATATAGTTTCTTTTGTGCTTAAAACAATTAGGATGAGAACACATGGATATAAAAGAAACTTTTTTGTCCGATTAGTTGCGGTAAACTGTTTTGTGTAGTTGATTGACGATGATTCACGATGCACGATTCATATCAAAATTTTAAACCTGTAGCTCTTTTTGTAATATATCAAAATAGGTCGATAATAGACGCTACAAAATTCTTCATTTAGGGTATCAAAGAGAGTTGAGGTACAAACGAAGAAGTGGTTCGTACAGCGCTTTCGGAAATTCGGACAAATATGGAAGTATGATGTAAGTTCACCACAACATATTCTTCATGCTACTGTATACATTGTTACTCCATAAAACCAGCTCCACTATTTAACAATTAGACAACGAGGCGGAGTTGTCTATGAGCGAATAGTCAACGAGGCGAAGCCGAGTTGACTATTTGCTCATAGACAACGAGGCCGAGTTGTCTAATTGTTTTAGTATAAACTATAACATTAATTTTTCCATTTCTTTAATTTGTGTACAAAATTCTTGTTGGCTTGCAAACCATTCTGAAATTTATTTCGTATATTAAAGGGAAGAAAATATTTTAATTGTTGTTCGCGTAAAATGTTTTAAAATTCAGTTTAAATATAAAAATTCAATTGAGTATACGTTATTTTTATGTATTTTCTTACCCTTAAAAATTGCAATTCCGTATTTTGTTGCTTTTTTTGTTTTTTCTGGTACGGAATTGTCCAACAAGTCGTCCAAAAAATCTTCAGATACTTCGGCGAAACGCGAATTTTCCGCCATTGTTTTGAATTTTGCTACTAGTAGGCTATCACTAATAGCCTACTAGTAGCGTAGCCAATCAGAACGCAGGAAAAGTGATAGCCTATTAGTAAGTTTATACTAATGTGAAATATTCTTGGTAGTTCCTAACAGGATTCCATTATTAACCGAGCGCGAACAAAGAAATAGGAGACCGAACTATTCTTCACCGAATCCGAAAGTGGGAAGTTGAATTAATTTGCGGAAAAGACCAAACATGCAAGAAAGGTCCTTTGACAATGAGTATTTTTGTTAACAATTCACAGAAGCTCCACTTCTATTCCACTGGCAAAAAACCATCCCCATGTAATTACTTAAAATTGTTCTACTATTAATGGCTTTATGCATTTTGCCGAACCGATCGACAGCTAATCAGCGTATGCCATTTAACTTTGCCATGCATATAATAAATAACATTATTACTTTATTTAGAAGAATTTACAGCTTCTGATTGGCTGATAGCCATGTATAAAATGGTCATGTCCAACGTTTGACGTCATAACGTGTGATACGACTTTTTTTTGCACTACGTCAGAACGTGTCATAAATGGTCGTATCCCACGTTGATGACCCAAAGAAGCGGGAATGTGAAATCGACACAAATTCAAGCGAACAAAGTTGTTATTGAATTCGGTTTTTGACGTGATATGAAGAATTATCAAGCCTCAGTTTGTCATTATCAACCCCAGCATTCGGCTTCGCCTAATAACAAATCTATCATGTTCAATCTCATATATTTTTAATATATCATGTTCAATCTCATTTAATAGTTGTTAATAATCAAGCTTCTGTCAATCATGTTCTTAAGGTTAACAGCATTTGTTGTTCGTTCATATGCACGGGCGCAACGATTTATTTTCATTGACGAGGCTGATATTACGCACAGCATCAACTGGTTTTCGACAAAGCAGAGATCGTCCGGTTGTTTCCCAAGTTACGGTCGACTTTTTGATAGATCCCTACAGGTAAAATTTAATATGATTTTCAGTGGCGTAACTAGAACGATAATTGGGGGAAGGTCGCTTTTCGCGCTCTTATTCATCAATGCTCTTTCAGTACAATTCACCTGCCTGTTAGATTGCTGGGTATCTTCAGACTTCATATGGGAATTACCAAAGTAGACTAGGGTACCTGGGGCGGGCCCCTGCAAGATAGGGGTGTTTCAGGCATTATTTTAAATCAATAAAGCTACATAGGTGTGTGAAAATTTCCGGAGACAGACAGCAGAGACGACATTGATTTTAAATTTTTATATTATTGAATTCAGTGGCGTACGGGAGACGATAATTGGGGGGTGCACATATTCATATATTCATGTTAACAGACCTGTAAAGACAATGGACAACATGAATATGTGAATATTTTTGTTGTTGTATTCATTATCAATCAGTGGTGGATTTAGGATAAATTGCATGCCTTATTTTATATTTAAAATACCTTAATAACGACGCTTTTGGGTATTTATTTCTAAAGAATATTTTCACATAAAAATCTACCAATATGATTGCAAGTTAGAACTAATGTAGTTTATTTTGAATTACCCTGGATCCGCTATTCAAAAGCCATCCAACTAAATTTGAACTACCCAATCTTCAAATTTTAGGGTGGTGTCAATAGTGAACTCACCATTACCGCCTACGTAACCATAGCTTTGCTCGAGGCTGGCATTGGTGTTGAGGTAGGTGGTTTTAGTGTATGCACGATGCTCAAATGTGATCATGCAGGAGAAACAAAAAACTCTCCTATTTCTTTCTTTTGGAATTTAAAACTGCCTTTACAATTTATTTAGACAAAAATGGTATCTAAAGCTCTTGATTGCATTACTAAGGAGCTAGATAATGATGTGCACGATTCATATACTACGTCATTAATAACATACACATTGACGTTGGCAAATCATTCGATGGTTGGAATTATGATGGATCGCTTGGATAAAAAGGCTATCTCAAAAGGTGACAGTAACTGAGAAGCTCTAATCTTTGTTTATATATTGTTGGCGTTGCTAAAATTAAATGGCCTATATTATTATAATTTCATTCGAAACAACATTTTCTAGTTCTTTTATAGCCATGCAATTTAGTCATCTTTTGCAATGTCAAAGATGTCTTCAGCCAAGTATTGCCTGTGCTATTTACATTGAATCAATGTTCTAAATTGATTTTAACGATTCAAACATAGATATTCCATTTAGATGATCAACTTTTCTGGTCAAGAAGCAATGTGCAGCGTGGATCGCGATCCGGTGATGTGGAAATGACTGGTTACGCTTTATTGTCGTATCTCAGACGTGAAGATTTTTTCGTAGCTAAATTAAACGCTGTTAAGATAGTTAGATGGCTATCAAAACAGCGCAATGGCTTTGGGGGATTTTCTTCAACACAGGTTAATTGAATATAGAAATGTGTATTGTTAATAACGTCTATCAGCAGTATTTAAATTCCACATTGTACAAAATGTCTTTTCTCAATAAAATCACATACAAGGAATCCTGGCATTGCGACATGAGCCGGCACGTTAAGAAACGGTTTGTTATTGTGGCTTATTAACGGCTTATTTTTGGATTATAGCCGCATAAATAACATGCAAAAGCTAAAATGTTGTCTTTTAAATTCGACGACTAATATGTAATTGTATTTGTTTTTCTTGAGATTTAGCTGGTACATTTATGCAACAATACAATTATGCAACTCCTCGTGCTCAGTGCGCCGATATATTAAAAGGTCTCCGCGAAACGATAGATTGTTTAGTAGTTTCTACCATTTAACATAGGTTACCCGAAAATGTGTTTTTTCATGGCATTAACCACAATTAGCATTTTGATCCGTTATAATTTGCATTACACGAAGTAGCGCACGCACTCATAATTAAAAAATGTCAATGATTTCTTATGTATATTTTATACATGTATATTTTATACATAAGAGATCATTGGCATTTTTTAACAATGAGTGCGTGCGCTACTTCATGTAATGCAAATTATAACGGGTCAAATGCTAATTGTGGTTAATGTCATGAAAAAACACATTTTCGGGTAACCTATGCCATTTAACAATTTAATGAGCTAGTCAAACATGATATGAGGAAATATCATGTTTATAGTGGTAGTCAAGTTCTTTCTGTGCACCGGTTCTGCTCATATAACATAGGAATCTCTGATATAAAAAATTGCCAAATTTCGAACGTTTCGCATTTTTCTCAACATAAACTCTAGTTCGTATTTCATATTTCATATTAATTTAGATGCCTATAGCGAACCTATAATGCAATGTGGCTTCCAATTGTATTTTGAAAGGCAACTTTAAATTATCACCCAATTATTTTTTTACATTCCAATCTAACTTCCACAATGATTCATTATAGTTTACTTTTTGGTTGATTAGGATACCTGTGTAGCGCTACAGGCTCTTTCCGAATTTGCTCAGAAAACATATCATGGTGATTCGTCTTTGAATCTAAGAATATCGACGAATATTGGGGACATTTTTGGACACGATTTTCAGCTCACTGGTGACAATAAATTCATTTTGCAACGAGTGGAAATCCCAAGTGATGCTTTACCAAATCAAATGAATGTAACGGCATCTGGGTCAGGATGTGCTTTGTTTCAGGTATGCGCACACGATTAATCAATAATTCAATGTACATATCAATCAGCAGGCAGCCAATCCCAGGTTTATAGAGAATGGGTGCGGCTAAAACCAAACGAATAGGGAATTGTTATATACATTGTAAACTTTAGGTAGGGATCATTATAGCTATATAACCATGTCCATTATTAATTGAATAGTTGTGCGTTGTGTCCAGGAACTAAAAATAATATAGAAATTATTTGTGCTGATGTGCATATTCCCGTTCGTTAAATCAATAACTGTGATTATATAAAACTGAATTTGTTTCATTAATTCACTTTGTAGCGTAGTCATAACCAATAAATTAAAGGGTGCAAAATAATGTTTAGGCGTCAGTGAAATACAACATTCCTGTGCCGAAGAAACCACCGGCTTTTAAAGTGGAAGTTTCTGTACATCGTAGGGAAGCAACCGCAGACGAAGAAACAACGACTTGCTATCCCTTGCAGTTAAAGATCTTCGCAGAGTAAGTATATCGACTTGTATAGTTTCCCGCCATTTATTACGAACCTTTTTAAAAAGGTTGACATCGTCTGTTATACAATAATTATGAGCCCAACGTTTTTCAAACAATAAAGTATGCGCAAAAAATATGTTCGATTAACCCAGGAAACCTAGTTTAATTAATCTAGGAAACATCATTCTTACTACGGATTCTTGTGGACCGATTCTTGTAGATAGATTCTTGTAAATAAGAATAGTTGTCGCGTCAGTTTAATGGTTACGTTTCTAATGAAGACGTGGTTTCAAGGTTTTGTAAAAAGTGAACACGTTTCGAACATTTTCGTCATTTCTTGTTAAGATCGTCATTAAAAGTCTGCATTTTTCCTACAGATGGTTGAAAGAAGATGTGTCAAATATGGCTATAGTTGACGTCAAGCTTGTGTCTGGATTTACTGCTAACGAAGAATCACTCCAGGAGGTGATATGTAATGCATTAGTTGATTGAAGAGAAGTTGGTCCAAGGTTCTGCACAATTTGATAAATCGTCAGAATCTCAGCGCTTCTATATACCGTCGAGTTTATTTTAGGCTTATTTTATATATTATACAATTATATAAATAAGATAGCATGCGGTACCCGCATTGACCGGCTGACCAACGATACAGTATATTTAGCCGACACGCAAGACGCATAGAAGTCTTGTATATAGCAATTTCTTGACTGTATAATAAGATACATGTTTACTTTTCAAAAAGATCGAGGTCTTTTGTTCACCTGCCTTTAAGATGCTGTAAAGTTCACATTGTATCTCTTTGGACAGAAACTGGAGCAGGGAAATCGTGTCACTGAGGGAGAATCGGCGATCCTGAAGCGCTATGAAATCGAGGGACAAAATATTATCCTTTACTTTGATGAGGTATGTTTCATGGTATAATACTGTAGAATTAAATATCTATCTTTAATTCTTTTCGAAAGTTTCCAATTCTTAATTTCGAAGGGAGTGGTTCATTATGGACGAAAAAAATAGGTCAAAGCATCGAATAGTTGGGAGGATTCCAAAAGTATCGTGCTCAAAAGATCTTGATCACTCTTATTTAACCTAATATTTTTATCTTTCCAGATTAAAACAATGCATTTCTCTCTTGATATTATTCAAAGTACTTTGGTGAAAAAAACAAAGCCTGGCGTTGTCAGAGTTTATGATTACTATAGTCCAGGTATACTATTCAAGTACAAGAAACACATGCATTCATGTAGAACCCATGAATAGATTTACTGCATCCCATCCACCCCTATAGCTCAGTCCATAAGGGGTACATAGTCAAATCAAAAACGTAATTATTTTATATTAATGCCGTCCTCTTCCGAAACATCGAAATGACATTTGTTTAGTCCTGTTTTACCCGCGTGCAGGCGTCCTCCACGGCATTTATAATGCAGACACCGAAAATATTTAATTCATAGAGAGTGAGGGGAAAGTAATGTACAACATCACAGAGGAAGATTGTTATGGGGAAAGGAGTGAGTTTTTCTAATTTATCTTACTATCATGCTCTGTATTGGCTGTTTTAGATTTATCTCTATTTAGTGAGGGAAAAAATGAAAAATTTGCTGTTTTGATTTTGTTTTAGTTTTAACTAATAAAAATTCAGTCCAATAATCTGAGATAACCAATCGTAAATTGTTTAAATTAAAAGTCGACACAATTTGACCATGTGAAATCCAGGCTTTAACATCCAGTTCTCACAAGATGTCGATATAAGCTTTTATTATATTCATTTTGAAATCAATGGTGTTTCTTGCAATCTGATTGGTTAAAAATAGTGTGATTAATTCCCAAATCGCACCATTTTGAGCATCAATTACATCATTTGTAAGCCAATAAGATTGAAGCTCTGCACCACAATAACCAATCAGATTTAGCATTTAAGTATAACTATCCAATAAATTTACAGGGGAAAAGGGCACAAAAAATTATTATTTTGTATTTTTAAATACCCCGCAAAATTTCTTGACAAAAATAGATGAAAATTACTCACAATTTTACACCGTTTTCGGTTCTTTCAGCCTATAATTGGTTTTGAATTTGTTCAAAACCCCCGCTTTGCGGTCGTGCGTTTTTGTGATCACGCGTTTGATTTCACACTAAATCGCGTTCCACTCAGTGCAATTACCATTATTAATACCCATTTTAACGTTTCGCAATTTTTTTACTACACTGTGCATGACCGCGATGCCTTGCAAGACCATAGGATACATGAAACTATTATATTATTAAAAAAGGCATTTTGGCTTGGGAAATGAGGCGAAAATATTGACTCGGAGATTGCGATTTTATGGACGATTTGAGCACGTTACACTAATCCTGGTTTATTTTAATGCAGTTCGAAATGAGTGTCCGAAGTGTTTATCTGTGGATAATTTTGAGGATTTCTTTGACAAGAATATCAATTGTTCTACATATCGTAAGTACAATTATTATTCCCTTAGGTATACGTGCAATACTTTATATCATAATTATTATTATTCGTTTTTAATTAATCGCCATATTTGTATACACTTGTATAATACTTCGTGTAAAATTATATGTATTGTACATTTTATCAAAATTTATGCATTCTGATTGGGTTACTGAAAGTGTAAACAAATTTGCTGATTGGTCATATATTATGCACGGGCTTACCTTTATGAGTCGTGCAACATAGGATCTTGAGCAATCTATATGTATATATCCTTTGCGATTACAACTTACAATTAAAAACTGTTCGGGTAGCGTTGTTGATGTAAGTTGACATACAGCTTATCTGAGAAAAAGTACAGACTTAGATCGACAAGTTTTGTCGCAACAAAGGCAGGATTTGTAATTTCCATATCATTTTCACTATAGTTTTTTCTTCAAATATGCCATGCATACACCAGTTACTAAGAATTCTGCAGCTTCAAAAGATTTTTTGGAGCTTCACTAATTATTGAAAAAGCCCGTTTAGATAGAAACTTCGAACTGATACCCCTCAAGTCCTCAAAACGTGATTAACACAAAAATATAACGCTTAAGGAGTAAACATTGACTTTATGGCTTCTGTGTGATGGCCAGATCAAAACACGCGGGAATGTAAATTGCAAGATTTAAAAAAGGCGCTTTAACTTCAAACCAATTCAAAGTATACGTAGCCACTGAGCGAAGCGTGTACATGTCGTAACCTGATGGTCTTTTGTTAAAATAATAGATCTGAGGCCTGTTTCAAACGCTGCCCTTGTTAACTACCAAACGCAATAACAACAATAGATATAGTGAGGCATCTCGACTGATTTTCTATTGTTTTAATGCACGTTCGGCGCATGAGAAGCCCGAAGTTTGAAACAGACCTTATTAAAGTGCAAGATACACTCTCAATAACACACAGCCACAAATTGATAAATGCAATAGATCGAATCAATATACAGCGTGAAACAAACCTTATTAAAGTGCAAGATACACTTTCAATAACACACAGCCACAAATTGATAAATGCAATAGATCGAATCAATATATAGCGATAAAACTTCTGAAAACTCGGCCGACAAACTTCATAGGATTTTATTAACCTTCAACTTGCTGTACCCTACGATCGCTTATGCATGTAAAAACTTTTATTGTCTTCACTTCTGAGTGCGTGTGTAAGAAACCTGAACTAGGTAAACCTGACAACCACTTTACCCCTAGCACTAAAATATTAATTTTTTAGTAATTTTGAATAGCTTTTAATTAATATTCTGGCAAGTTTGCATAGTGATATCAATAAGTAAATTAGCTTGTAGGTTCACCACGTAAGTATTTAATACTGCATGTCCAACTGCTAATCTTTTGTTGCTTTTTCAAGCAATTGCTCCTAAGTGTCTATTAAATTTTTAGTAATTCGACAACAGGCATGGTTATGCCTCGCGAATACAAAATTATATCATTGTTAATATGATCCTATTATCATGTTAAGTTGATATTATAACTTTAAGAGTATTACGGCGAGCGCTACAACCTTATCATATGGTCGCGTTACCTCAAAAAAATGCTGTGGTTCAGATTCGTTTCCAAAATTGGGTTTTTAACAGGCGGATTCAGACTATTCAGACTTTTTTGCACTTGGTTATCATAACGTCGTTTTTTATAATATTTGCTGCTTTGTCTTTATTTTACGCACTTCATCCAAAGGCATTGCTACTCGAAATAATCGTGAATATGTATCTGCCCTCTTTTCGTGGTTATATATTGATTGTGTCAGGGTACTTTTTCCCCAGATGCATAAAACATCACGCCACGTTTACCAAGAAGAGGAACTTGTGGGGGAGACCGCACGCCCACTTTTTTCCATGAAAGATAAAACTGATCGCAAAATGTATACTGATCCTTTAATTCCTTTACCTTGAAATCAAATACCAAAAATGCGAGTAAGCAATGTGTATCATCGTGTTATTTTTTGCATTAGTGACGCGTGTTAAGAGCATTAATGGTCGAATGAAGGTGAAAAAAGCTTATATAAAAACAAAGAAGACCCAGAACCGCAAGTTGAGTTCCTATGAAATACCTGAATTTTGTCCTTGCGACGAAATATATAATGGTGTAACATCATTGGTGATAGGACTGAGTGATTACTTCCAAACTAAGGACGACAAAACCTCCATCGTGTTCAACGCTGCTACGACAGTTGCGAAGTGGAATGGACAGAGAATGAAAAAGATTTTCAGAGAGAAGATGATCTCGAAAATTTATCGTAGATGTAAAGCATTGGCGATGAAAAGAAAAAGTGGATAGAAAGGAACTGTTTGGACTGGATGGTGAATCCCTTTATTAATGTTCAAGTAATGAATTGTGATACAAAATAGTTTTTCAACTTAAATTCTGATCAATAAATGATTTCAATTTTGCAAAATTTCTTCTGTAAAGATCTGCATGTGTTTTGCCGACAATTTTTGTTCCTAGCTGTTTTTATTACATTTTTGCGGTCATTTGTCAAGTGAAATAATCTATACCTAAAATCTTGGTGCTGATCGAGCGCTCTGCTAAACCTACCGTGATCGCGGTCGTACAAAAGCTGGATAGTGATTAGCGCGCACGCGTAGCTTCATTCCTTTCACTCGCAAGTCAAGCACAGGCTATATTATTGTATAATTTAATAATTTCTTTTAGTTGGACTTTTTTTAATCGATCATACTTTCAATTCAAGTTCTCCTTAGCACGGAAAGCTTTGTGGTACTCTGCTCAGGACTCGCATCTTTTTTTATCGTGATGTGACGGTAAAGTTGCAATATTCGAAATTTTTACCTAAACTTAACGAAGAAGATATATTGGTGACGAGCAGGGCGTACCTAAATTTTTGAATGAATGTTTGCTCACGGCTATGCGGAAATTACCTCTCCGGTTTTTTCTTCATCCGGACCTCGCTTTGCGATCGCGTTTGTCATCGCATTTTGCCGGTATGCTTTTTAATCTCTTTGACCATTTTAAAACTCTTTCAGTCAGTCCGCGAACAGCTGTAAGAGATCGTACGTAAACGTAAATGGCCGTAAGCGACCGTGAGCACAACCCAGTGAACTCAATAAGACTGACCGCTCACTCCCTAACTTTCCCTCAGTGTCCGCCATATTGGCTTCAAACTTCCGACATGGCACAACCTCGTACCCAGGTTGTTTTACCACGCTCCATGGCCGCAGCGTGGGCTGTGGAGCGGAGGTAAAACACCCTAGGCCTGAGTGCGAGATTACCGTCAACAGTCTCGGAATTTTATTACAAAACTCAGAATCGAAATTTGATGTCGAACATTTAAAAATCTGGTTAAAAATTGCAATCGCACGTTCCATTAGCTTCAAGAAAGAATATACTTTAGTGGAATGCGTCTAACTTTCATGTTATCAATTAAAGGAATCACCAGGGCCTAGTAGTCAGTACGATTTAATCCTAGCTGGTATAATCTTATTTTGGTACATACTTATGGATGAAAAAACGTCAACATAAAATGCCAAATTCGCGTAAAGTGTTATTGCCAGGCATACTGCATTTAATTGACCGTAACGAAAAAGATGGCGGCATGTACATTTTACCAGAATGCATTGCGGGCATTAAGAATGATTGACTGAAAAAAGATGGCAAGAAAAACTCCTAATGACGTGAAATTTCTACACAGCGAAGAAAATAACTTCTTGTTTTATGCCTGTCCTTTAAAATACGTCAGTTCATTTTTTTAAACGATTTCCGACCGCAATGCATCCTGGTAAAATGTACATCTGCCACCTTTTTTGTTATGGTCAATTAAATTTGCCTTCAAACTTTGTTTGCCTACCCACAAAATAACTAAAACTGACAAGGAAAATTATCCGGGCAATTAAAACATTAAAGTCGGCGCATTTGGCTATATTGCAACTGTGACAAAGTTAATAAACGAAAAAGACAAGTTCATAGATCTGCCCTTCATTCCACACTCCAAACTAATATAGTTTATTTATCTGATTTTATCAGTAATTTTGACACAAAAGTAGGCCAAAAATAGCATGGCTTTGTGTAAATATGGGTTTCCCAGGATTCGGTCTGTAATCAGAACAATTTATCTTCTTCGCATCTTTACCTTAATCATATCTTCTTTCTCAAATTTCACATGCAGAATCATGAAGAGAGATGCGTTAAAGACAAGAACAGTTTTGATAGGAGAGAAAATCAGGGAATTATTTTTAATATTACGTTTCTGTAGTTGACCTGTTGTTGTCATAATTCTTCCGGGTGTCTATATAGGCCTACTTTTTTGGCTTTCCTCCGCATTGAATGAAGATGTCAGTGGCAGGGAAGTAGCTACATAGGATTCTCAGATGTTTCTGATGTATACTGTTATTACCCTGCGAATGCTTTGATCATAAAAAATGGAAGACCAAGTTCATTTTCTAAACCCAAACTCCTGTCCGGCAGTAGGCCTAGGGAAATATTGTTGGCTTCCCATGCACTACGACCACTAACTGTATTTATGATTTAAAAACAAGCAAATATCGAGATTTTCGTTTAAATTCTTTCGAGCGATTTGGCGGCCCTAAAAAGAGCCTGTTGTTGTTTGTCTTGTCCAGTGGTCGTTGGTTTGAAGAAGCGAGAAACCTAATACTTCCTTGATGTCTCGTCTATAGGTTCTTTAATCTGCTTGAGATTTCGTTGTTGCAGGTCTGGTCTTGTCATCTTATATGTTCGTCGATAAAGTGTCTTCATCATTTGATGCTTGGATTGTGAAAACGCTTGCTAGAATCTAGAATCTTTTCCCAAACCTCGCGTATCTTTCAGGTCTAGTACAGCCGTTCTAGCTCAAACGTTGGTGCCCATGCAATGTGGTATTGTCGTTTGTCATGTATTATAAAGTTTAATATAGTGCAGAAAATTAGTTGTCGTAGCCTATTTATTCGCTACTTTTAGGAAATCTTTAAGTAAAGAGTCTTTATTATTGTGTGTACTTTTGTGATCTTGTCCAGTATATATATACTGTATGTGCATGTTGTCGTCTATGAATACAAAAGCTAAATTTATATATATACATATATATATATGTACATACTCATACAATCTACGAATTGCGTCGGAACCTCAGCTAGAATATCTTGCAGATTTCAAAAAAATGTACACAAAAAGATATTAAAAAAATGAATGAATTATCAAAAATAGTAATATGCTACGATTGAACTTTCAACATTTGTCTTAAATGCGTTGTCATGAGCGTCAGGTCCTGTATGGGTTGTGAAAAAGTTAGCCAGTGTGCTGGCGGTAATGGTACATTACTTGGATGTGGAGCCGTCTTTGGGCCGGCGTAGAAGGCTGTGTCTATGTCGTGAGAGTCTGTTGAGTTAACATAATTAACTGGCGAGGTATTAACGGCGAGAGGTGAGATTCTGCTCCGACTTCCTGGCGAAGACAAGTTCTTCCTTCTCTGAACGCGACTCATTCTTCTGCTCAATATAACGAAAGCTCTGTCTTTCAAATTCTGTCTGTTTCTCAGGTATGATAAAAGCTTCGCTTAGAATAAGATTTCTAAGGATAAAAAGATTCTTCTCTGTGAAAACCGTTCGTGAAGCAAAGTTACGAACGAAGCACTTTGCAACAAATATTGCTTACAATGCAGGTAATCAAACCTACAGCCGACGCTTTATTTGTTTTGCCTTTCGAACTTCGCGACCAATCAAAGAGCGATCTTGCATGTGACCTCGCCACGCATCCAATCAAAATAGTCAGTTTGCCACACCTGCATCCTCCGCCAATCAGAACGTATATGCCTTATCTTTCTATTTTTGGTACAAGAGGCAATGTTGTTTTTCTTTCACAACGGAAATGTTTCTTATATTTCAAGAGTATGACGTACATCCATAAAAGCAAACACACCTCTTACGTGCGGCCGTTTATATGTTTATACAACAACGAGAGATCTTCTGTCTAGAATTACTAGGTATTTAACTCCTTAAAACTTGGTCATTGTCGGAATTAAAACTTAGTAAAGCAAACATAGGTTTTACACGAAGTGAGGTAATGGGCATTGAGAAACTGTGACGTTAAGTGGCAAGGTTATATTTTGTTTTCATTTTAAAGGACTCTCGAAGTGCTCTTTTGAGAATTGAGAGATACCCGATCCAACATTTGGATTCACTATCTTAAAAGTTAATACAAATATTTCGTCGCTAACTGAGACAAAATTCCTAATCTCTCGAGATTCAGAAAAATATCATATATGAAGTCACTTGCTACGCTCAATATATAGATAAACCAGATGACATGCTATACATATATATATATATATATATATATATATTATTATAATATTATAATATATATATATATATATATATATTATATATATATATATATATATATATATATATATATATATATATATATATATATATATATATATATATATATATATATATATATATATATATATATATATATATCTCAAAGAGCATGGCCTATACAGGAATGACCATAGTCATAAATACTCAAATACTCACATATACGTTAGTTCAATTGCACGACACCTACTAACCTAATTGTAACAAAAATTACGTCAATAATATACTGTACAACAGTAGAAGTATATCCTCAAAAAAATCCCTCACATCATATCAACCAAATACGATTTATTCGTGTAATATGAGAAATTATATTTGCCGACGCCGTCGTTTTGGTTTATACCTATATATTGCTTATTAGCTATTTAGCTACAAAACCTACATATGAACACAGAGGCAGAAGAGATATGGACAGAGGCTCGACTCTTCCGATTTTATTTTAAAACGAGTGTCCCCGAGGTTTTGCCAAGCCACGTCTTTCTCACGTCATTTCCACGCGCCACGCAACCACCTGATTCTCTTCTCGTAAGCTCCATCGAGCCAAATTTCAATTCAAAAGTATAGAGTAAACGCTGTTCGAAAGGTGAAAAATTGATTTTTTCTGAAACTGGATCGGATTATCTTCATTATTGGACGAAAATTTTGGAGATTAACGGAAAGTTAACAGCTTTAACTCCCATAGTATATCAGTTTTTAAATAGTGAGGCGCGTGGAGCTGCGAGTCGAGTCTCTGTCAATATATCCTCTGTGAGTGAACTTTCACACGCAAGCAGCATTTTTTTTTATTATTCAAATAATATTTTTTTCATTATTCAAATATTTTTTTTTAATATTCAAACACGATTTATCTATCAGTTATTCAAATAAACAAGATTTTTTTATTATTCAAACACGATTTATTTATTATTCAAACAAACAAGATTTGTATAAATTATAAAACTAGGTTACCCATGGGCAGGAATGCTGCCTGAAGTATAATGTTAGTGTTCCACACGTTCTGTAATGGTAATGCCCTAAGAACTAGATTGCAGTTTTGTTAGACATCTGTCTGAACGAATTTAAAGCTGTTTAGCTTAACTTGGTTCCTTGTTGAACTTTTATATTTCATTTAATAATCCCAACTCCCATTATTTGATACTTTGGTTGCTATTTACTTATGGGGTAGTTCGGTGTTCCATGATCTTAACTCTTGGGAGTAAAATAACGATGTATAATGTATTGTAAGAATTAAAAATTTATCTCTTTAAAAGACCTGATGCATAATGAAGTCACAAAGCGTGATTAGTAGTAACGGCGGGAAGATTTCGAAACAAAACGTTTCCAGCTGTGACTACTAAGACCAGAACCCCCTGCACGCATCGCCCCTTCTGACGTCATTATGAATAAGGTCTATTGACTTTGAATTTTAAATATTGTTGAATATATACTACCTAATGTGTATAGAAAGGGATATTGGACTACTGGTAACCAATAGTGCAGGGGATATCGAAGCTTTACGGTACGATTAATTATAAAGGGGTGGTTCAAAGGCTTAGTGATTCCGGACTATTTTGAAGACATCATTCTTCATCCTTCTAGCTCGTTATAATAAATAAACGCACAAAGTTGGACAGCATTTATGTAATAGACATCATATTTAAATATTTTCTGAATAATTGCAATATTGTGACGCGAAACAGCTGCATTCGTGGCTAGAGGAGACATCTCATTTCATTTTGCCCATTTTTTTGCTGAGGGTGCGCAGAAATTATGCATCACGATTTGTTTTGACGAATATTACATTCGATACTATATTTGCATATCAGTGATAGAAAACGTACGGCAAAATTCGATTAAGGGTTGCTAGATGTGCGCCGGCCTTATCGCCTAGAAACTCTACAATAAATTCGTTGAATATTTAACCCACAGACCAAGGTGGGAGGCCATAGTGTGAGGTCTCGCCCGACGTCTAGCTTTAATTATTGTATGACCTCCGCAAAATACATGAAAAATTCATAACGGGTATAAATTGTACGGATTACATTATATTTCTGGTTTGCATGGTTGGCAAAGACTCTCTCTGTGGCAGCAATTATGATTCGATATGAATATAAACCTTTCACTTTATAAACCTTTCACTTGAACGCACACCACGCACATGTGTAAGCATGGTTAATTTGGGTTGCAGGAAATGCATCACAGTGCAACAAATATTAAACTAATGTGATGCCGAAGTGCATGCTGGTAACAGTAAAAATCGAGATCTCAGCTCCCTATAGTAATATAATAGACCAGGGTACCTGCAAGGTAGGGATTGCTGCGGGTATTATAAGCAAATAAAACTTCATATGCATATGACAAGAATACGACTGGATTTGTATCAAGGTTTGTGACGAATTTTTCAACCACAATGCCTCACGGCCCTAAAATGTGTTTTCCACTGCCCACTGCACAAATTAGGATGCTGCTACGCTCGCTTGCTTAAGGCTTACTCTGCAGCAATTATGGATGCTGCTTAGCTTGCTCCAGGCTCGCTCGCAGCGGCTTGAACAAGGGAACTGAAACTCGATTCACTTTGCCCTGAGCTAGACTGCAAAACTTTGTTTTCGTGAATCTGCCAAACGGGGTGGGGCTCATTTTTGTAAGAGAAAACGGCTTCAGGTGTTCTTGACTGTTTGTTCTTTTTTGCCGCTCACTTCATTAACTGAACTTTTAGTACATAATAAATTAATGCATAAGATGTAGGTTCAGCCATTCACGATTTTTATGAGTGTGTTTTGCCTATGGCTTATCCACAGGGATTAATATCATAGTAAAGTTCAAAAAGGCAACTAACTCCAAGGCTATTGTGTATCAGTTCGTTTGACGATAATTCTACAATGCAACCTATCCTACAAGCATATATAGTATAGTAGATTTGGCCCTTCGCTTGACCCATTCATGCCTTCCCATGAGTATACGGACTACTCTTATAACATCCAGACATTCCACGTTATTTCTATCAATTTTAGCAATAGGTCTTATAAATCAATTGCCCGATCGGATTATTGATAAGTGGACTTATTAGGTATCTTCCTGCACGCTTATGTCCCTATTTTTATGGATAGCTAAAAACAACGCATGCTTGTTGGTGGAATTAAAGGCATAAAAACATTCGTTTTCTAATTCTTCATGAACGTAACTCAATTGGAACTATCGGTGGGTGCCTTCTCGCATCGGGCCGACACATAATTTTTTTGAACAGGTGTTTAAAAGCTTTTCTGTACGTTTGATCCAGCCAAGCGTAGATGACTGGATTACATAGGCTGTTAAATATTGGAAGCGTGTTTGAGATAACATGAAATATGTCGATATTTTCCTTTTGCAAATTATTGTCATAATCAATTAAATGTGGGTAATATAGTGAGACCAGCATCCAAATAAATCCGGGACTCCAACACAATATGAACACTCCCATAACAGCCCATTGCATACGAATGACTTTCATATTTTGAAGAAAAGCATTCTCGCGGTTTTTGTTATTTGAATTTTGGCGTAGTTGGCCACTCCGAAACATTTTTTGACGTTTGCGAGCAATAAAGAAAATGCGAACGTACATGGCAAGAGTGAATATTGTGGGGAGAAAAAACGCCATTATTATGAAGAAGGTGAAAAATCCCTTTCCGACTTTGTCAATTTTGGCAGCATCAGAGCAAAATCCGGTTCCAGTGTCTAGGATTCCCCAGCTCCCTGAATGAGAGCTGGCATTGTAACTGGCGTAGACACTTGAAATTAAGACAATGCAGGAAATAATTTTAAGTAATTTGAAAGTTGTCATTCGTGATCTGTAATGAAGAGGCTTGCTGATTTTAAGGTATCGGTCAAAACTTATGACGGTTAGTATATAGAACGATGCTGTTAACGCAAACGTGTCTAACCAAACCATAAAGCGACATGTGTGAGTAGGCTTTGCATCTCGCGATTCGTGAACGAAATTAAGTTCATTCGCCGTCATTGGTGCTACAAAAATTCCCACAACAAGATCAGCAACAGCCAGGCAAGCGATAAAATACTTATTTGGTTGATGAAGACTTCTTTCTCTCCAAGTGGCGACCAAAACGAAAGTATTTCCCAGAATTGCGCATATGGCAACGATAATTAATATGATTTTTTCTGTTAATATTAGTTGCTCTCTGAATAATCTTGATTTCTCAGGTATCGAATCCATGCTTTCTAAGTTGTGTGCTGTGGTGCCTGTGGAAGATATGGTGCAAACCTTGACCCTAGGTGATAAAAAACCTCAAAAATTAATTCATGTTTTCTTTTAGGCGCGGGGTTGAGTCTAAACATGACTGAGGATGGAAGTTTACATCCATGCAGGGATTGATTATCGCATAAAAAATATTAGTTGAAAGTAATTTACAGTTGTTTTGTTGTTGTGGTCTGTAGCTGAACCACTAAAAGTACGCGGAAAGAAGTGGATACGAAGATGCAATTTGCTATATTTACTCTGGTACATATAAATATATTGTTCCATATCTTCGCGCTTTTTATGCAGCCCACACCTGAGATACAGACTATATAGTACGATGAGGAATAATATAGCCCAACTGCTTATACTATTAGTAAGAAATTTGTGATATAAAAGATATTCCTAGTACAAAGGTGTTTCTTTGCGAGACATTCAGATAACCATCAATGACCTCGTTTTTGCGAACCAGAGTCTTATTTGCGCTGATCGTTATCAGTCATAATTTTTAACGACTATAGAGTAAGCCAAATACCTGTTTTATCTCATGTAGACTAGCGCTGGATCAAACAACCTTCAAAATCATTGATACACTTGGCATTAAGGCACGTCAATCCAAAGTTCGATCGTGCTTTGAAGTCGATAAGTTAAAAGAATGAACTCCATGATGTTCAGTTCAAATGTTAACGGGGCAACTTTGAATTTCAAACACCGAAAATTACATTTTTGTTTGCAAATGGTTTGACACTTGGCATAAGAAGTGGGCAGTTCTAATTTGCAATCGAACAAAGTTGTAATATTCATTTCGTAACTCGGAACTTAACTAATGATATTATTTGCTTTTAACACTGATATGTTTACAAGAGTACTATAGAGATTGTCATCAATGTCATGGGCGTTTCAGCTGTAGTATATTCAATGGCGTTGCCAGCCCGACAATTTAGTCATGCTATGCTAATATTTCGATGTTCATTGACTGTGAAACAATGAATTTAACATAAAATTTGCATAGCAAATAAATCGTCAGGCTGGCTACGCCACGGAGTATATTATCTCGACTTTAATGCCTCAATACCTCATGCACATACTACTTCCATGCTGTTTTGAGTTAAAAACTTTGAACTTTATCCATGAACTTTCCAGTTAATGCGCGAAAAATTACGGTCACCAAAATATTTTTTTTTATTTTAAAAAATATGAAAATCTTTTCATGCCATATTGCAAGCCAAGTTGGTGAAGTTGCTCCGAGTGAAAAAATAATGTAGGAACCTTCAATCACTTTAGTTACCCATGCAGACCAGACCCACACATAACGGGTGGAAAATAGATGATTTTTGTAAAAACGATATATTATTATATTGGATGTCCTTAAAAAGGCTTGACTGATAATAACTTCTAAGCGATTGAAGCTATTATATTTTATATACTGAAAGAAATTTTATCACATAAAGAGAGCGCGAATTTTGCGACACAATTGTATTTTACTCAAAAATTATATGTGGGCTAAATTATACAAAACGTTATTCATGCAAGTCCCATATACCTATAGCAAATACAATAATTTATTAAGAACTTTTCGGGTCAGCCGGTTAAAGACATACCCTAATCATAGACATTGCCTCACTCACAATAACACAATTGAATAACTAACGGCGTGAGATTTGACACCCTGTATGAAGAATTGAAAAAAATAGCTCGTGCATGTGCATGCTTATCCGGTATTGTCTATGCCATCAACAATTAAATTTAGTGTCGTAAATTGTCGCCCGACTCATTAATTTATAACATCAATCTTACAGCTTCGGAGCCTTAGCCTAGAGCAAACTAGGAAACACGTAGTCGCGGAAACGTTGTGATATTTCCAAAGGTATAGGAAAGCACCATTCGTATCAGTGAGAAACATTAGTGCCTATGGTTAAAGAATATAAGCATGCATGCAGGTAAAACTAAAGGGATAAAAGAAGACAATATCTCTCGTAACATAAATCACACTTAAAATACATGAAATAATTCTGAATCTTACATGAGAAACATTGTCGCATTCCCGTAAGTACATTTTGTTTCCTTATATTTAAATGTGTTTGCATTTTCACCATTAGCTTACTACTATATATACTGTACAAATTCGACCAGTTTATGAACCGGCCGTTTTGCATGCATGGCCATTTCAGTTTTGGGACGAAATTAATTATATGCTTTAGTGCGTTAGTATATAGCCTACCTGTCGTTAATTCAAGTCTTGTTTTTAGTTCTTCATCCCTGGTTTTGTTTCAAGACTTCATTAAATTCAAATATCGATTCAGCTGAACATGTCCAACCTTCAAAACATTACAAAAGTAACTCATTGCGCGTGTTGCAAGTCAATAAAGCGGTATAATTAAGTTTGCTTAGTTGACGTTTTTTAAACCAGCTCTATTTATTATACAACGACAAACTAGAACACGCCTACCAGTCAACTTAACAGCTCATGTCAAATTCATAGAAATTCATTAATTGCGAATTACATTTTAGCATTGGGTTATGGCCGGAATATTATAGCCGAAATTCAAAATTTTATAATCAAATCAGTCTTCAAATATAGTGCATTAACATCAGCGCCAAATACCATTCAGCACATGGCGAACGATAACCGTAAATTTTCCTATTACTTTTTCAGTTGCTTGGTGACTTAAGAGCACTTATATATACATTTGTGTACATGTGCGTTTGGCGTACGTGTTGACTTGCGTCACAGCACTTAGCATAGATTAAATTCAATTTTAATTTTTATTTCAGCTCCAAAGTCGGTATACCATTAAAAAGGTATGTCAGGACTAATCCGGAGTCTCTTCCACCGGTCCACCTTTGCCAGTTTTCCAGGCTCTTTCCATGTCTGATAATAACCAGATTCTAACGGAAATTAACCGTGAATGCACTGTTCAAATTTCGGCTTGTTCATGCATGCATACGTAATTCGGAAATAAAATCCCTTCAATTCTATGAAACGCCGTAATGGAAAAAATACTTCGAGTTCATTAAAGTAAAACATCTCTCGCGAGTATACTTCATCAACGTTCTCGAGCGACTAAAATTCACGATCGTGTATGAGACTTCTACTTCCGGCGTATAAGACTTCATGGCACAATTCCTTACATACAACTTTCTGCGCGTAAGACCAAAAACCGCCAGTAAGACTTTGTAAGACTAAATTTTTGGTCCGTCGGACTTCCTACACGGAAGAGAAAATTTGCTGGTAAGACTTTAATCTAATTTATCACCCAATGACAAAACCTCTAGTAAGAATTAAACTTATAAACTTATGCATGGTGCCAACTGGCATTGCTGGAGTCTGGAGATGAAATTTGAACTGATTCTTCGTTGTTAACAGCATTATTTTGTCCCAGAGACGATGCCGCAGTTTGACTGCTGGTCGCTGAAGCTCTATTGAGGCTAAAATTCCACTTACTGCGGCATTTTAAAAAATCTTGATTACTGCCTGCCATGTTTACGTTTACATGAACGCAATTCGGGTTCGGATTCAACACTTTACTCCGAATAAATCACGCCCTCGTGACTATAGACCAATTGCGAAACTTAGTAACCGCGCCTTCGCATAACATGGAAGCGAGGCTTATTATGCAAAAAACAATATTTGTATTTTTTGCCGTACAAAGCTATCCGCCGAGTTATATCCCGGTTTTCGCCTTTGGTTTACATATTTTTCGATACCTTTAAAGCTCGGTTTCATCGTTGTTATCATAGTTTTAAGGTGAGGGAGTTTTGCCTTTTATTTGAGGCGTTTTTGTGATGTCTTCATTAATTTTTTCGGCTGCTTTCGTCGGGGAAATATGGAAAAGGCCGACACAAACTCAGGTAAAAATTCAGTTTTTTCCAAACTATTTCGTCTCAAGTCTTGAAAATTTATTTCATTTTTCTTCCTTTTATTTGTGCAAAATTTGGCGATATATATTTGGTGCAAAATCTATGTTTTTGTGACAAAAATTGTTGAAAACTAAATGAAAAGTGACAGTCAGATTTTATAATTTCACACCTAATGACTGAAATGGTTCAAATTTATTCACAAATATCACTATATTTTTATCTTTATACCAGAGTAATACTGTGAAAATGGCAAAAAGTAACTAACTGAAATGTTTTTGTTTATTTCGTTTTAAAAAAGTACAGACGATGCATGGCTTGCATACCGACATGAAGGCCGAATTTTATTTAAAAGTCGAATTCGAACGCATCTGACGTTCTGTATATTTTGTGTCACTACAAAACACTATTCTTTCTATCTACTACCATGCAATAGATGTTTTAAATAAGGGTTAACCAGGAATACTTTAAAAGGAAAGGATTCCGTTCACCATCGCATTATAAAACGGAAAACACTTCCGAACTTCGGGGTTGTATATTTTTTTCGCCTTCGGCTTTGCCATCATGTAAAGGCATATCTTAAAAAACGCTGCTGCTCGCATTGTGGCTACCTTTATAGTATGATATTGTGGGAAAAGAAATATTAAATGGTAATTCAAAATAGAGAATGATATTATGTCTTGGTAATAAGTATTTTACTATCCATGTCATGCATGTGTGCCAAGTTGAAGAGTTGTTTTGCTTTTGAGTCGGCATGACATCACATGTACTGTAGTCTATATACACAGGGAAAATAAACCAAAAAACTCCGTTGTATATTTTATCTCCGATTGTTTCTGTCAACAGAGTTCTTCTAATTTTTCCTGAGCTGTAAAATTGCTGTGAAATTACAGCCATAGGCGTACGGGCGCAACTTCGTTTGGGGGGGCAAAAAAAAAATCGCCCGAATTTTTGAATTATACAATGTGCCCGAATTATAACTTTTACCTGATTTGTAACAATAGATTTGGCAAAGCGCGGATGTGCTTTTAAGAAAGTGTAACAAAAATAGCGAAATAGAATACAATATGTTATATATAATATATTACAAAATTTGGTTTTAAAATTTTTAGCTATGTAAT